GTAAATGTTACCGCTGATCAGTTACGAAATTTACCGGACCTTTGATGTACTTATTAGATTATAAAATTATCATGAGTGACTTGCAACTCTTATATAATTTGACACTAATTAATAAGGATAAAATACCTGACAGCGTACCTTACACTCTTATATTATTATTTATTTTATCATGTAACCAATAAACTAATTAACACCTGATAGCCAGTGAACAATGGCCTTTGGCATTTATGTTGTTTACATAAATTTTCGCGGAATTTATTTTCGTGATATCTCCTGGCCCGCCAAAATAAGCGAAAATAAACACCCCGCGAAAATAACCTGCTATATGGTATTTTCGAATTATGAGTTTGAATGTCCCTTTGGTATCTTTTGCCTCTCTTTTACCCCTATCCATCCAAATTTGTCTAAGTCCTATGTAAATGACAATGTGAAACCCATGAATAGAAATTATTGAGTCAGATTTTTATTATAATACAACATCATTGACTTGTAGTGACCTTGTAGTACTATAAGGTATGGGTTTTTCTCATTGTTGAAAGCCGTACGGTTGCCTATAAATGTTTACATCCACTTCATTTGAACTTCAGTGGATAGTTGTCTCATTGGCAATCATACCACATCTCCTTATTATACGCCTGTTTACGGGACGTATTATGGTATACTGTTGTCCGTCCTTCTGTCCTTCCGTCCGTCTGTCCGTCAGTCGTCAACATGTCAGACAATAACTCAAAAATGCTTTGAGCAGTTGTCATGAAACTTTGGTGAATTGTTTATATCTATTGACTTAAGCTCTTTTTAGATTTTTATAAATTTTATATTTTACGTTTTCGAGTTATGGGATTTTATTCATAAAAAAGGGGGGATTTTCCAGTTTTCGCACAATAACTCAAAAGTGCTTTGAGCAGTTTTCATGAAACTTTGGTGACTGGTTTATATCTATTAAAAAAACTACATTAGGTTTTTAAAAATTTCTGATATAACATTGAGGAGTTATGGAACTTTATCTGTTGAAAAAGCGACGGGCGTATCATGCGCTCATGGTGCAGCTCTTTATTTTTATATTGACCTACAGTTTATGCTTGAATAACTGGGACAAATAATTGTGTCTAGTTCATTTCTCAGAAACCCATGATGATAATATATATATTCGAAAAATATGTACTGTGGACTATTTTCATGGGTACCAATTTTTATGGATTGAAGAAAAATTGTATTTTCATGATTTTGACAAATTATACATGAAAGCCTATAAGAAGAAGAGTAGGGTCAATTTTCCTTGTATTTGTTTCACTCACAGGGTCAAAATCTAAAAGTTGTCAAACCTTACTGGATATTGAATATAAAAAGGGTCTATATATATATTAAACACTTAATATTTTTGAACAGTTTCATATATTTCCTTCAGCTCAAAATGCTTTACCTAATCCTATAGTGCCTATTGTTGCCGTTGAAGACATTTTTATACGAAATTGCAAATTTTACATGTTCTTGTCAAATTTTGTATTAAGGACGTGGCTAGCCAAAATAAATTAATTTGTATGGGACAGAGAAAACATTGCTTTACTTCCAACAGGATTTTGGTGTATGTTAAGAATGTCCTTGTACATTATGGGATGGAACAGTTTTTAGGCTCTCTTCAGGTGTTTATTATTTGGTGATCTGTTCAGAAATTAGCCAAAAATGTTGTAAGAAACTTAAAGTTCACATATGGGCTATGATACCATGAATTTAAAGGTGACGATTGAAAAACTTTTTGAAAGTTGCCCTTTCGTGAAATAAATTCAAAGGGAAATTAATTGGCCCTTCCTCTTTGTATTTCTTCAAACACTCAAATTTATATTTCGCTTAACACTCAAGTTGTGGTTTAATAATTCAAAGAAATCCACGAAATTCATTTATAGATGAATCCATTATGATTTGATGAGTACTAAAGGTGGAAACATTTTAAGTGACCCTGACATTGTGCATGCTTTCAGTCTGAGCATTCTGTATGATAAAGTTGGCTCTAACAACATTGTTTACATCTGAAAGATCCCTATTTTGAATGCCTTATTAACTACCTGGGATTCAACAATACATTTGGTAATCCTAACTTGACTAGTGTACTACACCTACATCTCTCACCAAGTCCAAAGATCGATTTTGGCAAATGTTGTGATCAATATTATTTCTCAGCATGTTCCACCATTTTTATGCCCCACCTATGATATTATTCCATCTGCCTGTCCATGTCTGTGTGTTTAGGGTACCCCTAAGAAAATAGGGTAGGTAATTCAGGGCCGTAACTAGACATCGGAAACATCCGAGGCAGGGGTTTGGGGCCGTTGAAAATTGTAATATTAGGGTCCGAAGTATAACTTGTTACATCCATTTTTGTTTCATATTTACCGTATGAAGAACTGCATTAGGCTAACAGAGCCGGCTGGCAGATACTTGCCTCGAATTTCGTACCATCAAACATGCATCAATTTACAGTAAGATACATGTTTGATAGTAGAAAAAGCGGGACAAGTGTGTGTGGTCAAAGCTTCATTAAAAATAACACACAATTTAATAAAGCCCAAAGATTGGAACCTATAGTCATGGTAGTCACTGTATGTGAATGCTAGTTCGTCCTTTCTTGTGCCGCTAAGATCCCATTGTTTGAGAACAGCTTCTGCGTTCACTTGCTCGACATTGTCCGTACCAAGGGTTTGTATAGTCTCACTATACAAATCATTGTCTGTACGATAGACGTGAAGCATGGCTAATTCACATAATCTGACCTCGGTCATTGTTGAGCTGCACCTTGTCTTTATAAAACGCTGAAGGGCAGAAAAAGATCTTTCACATGAGCAAGAACCGACCGATAATGTCAATAGTAGCTTCTCCTTGGAAACCAAAATCTCTGACGTTCCAACTTGTTCAAGAGACTTTTTCACGGGGAATGAATAATTGCAGAACCACTTACTGGCGATGGTAATGAGGCAGAGAGTTGGATACCTAACGTAGTTGAAATAAAATTCAGAATCTGGACGTCAACATTAATGACTATTCGAAGTATGCATTACTTAATTCTTGAAAATTGAAAATGCAAGGATGTTTTCTACCCCTGCATGCCTAGCTTTCTCCATTTTCTTTTTTTTTCTTATTATTATTTTTTTTTGCCAGAAAATCAGACGAGGCAATAGCCTCGTCTGCCTCATCAGTAGTTACGGCCCTGTAATTTTTTTGGCGACCAAACATAAAAAAGAGCGAGTGGAGATTTAATTTTAATTAGATTGAATTATTTGCCTTATTGATAATTTGTTTCTTGCTGACTTTTCTATGAAATATCTTGATGAGCGCTGTGGTCATCTCTATCTTTGCATTGTTTCTGTAAATTAAAATGAGTTTATCGTTAAATTTTGATAGTATTAGTTAGATTTTTTGGTTGTTTTAGTCTGTAGTTTGTTGATGTAACCCAACACCTGTGTTTTCAATGTACAGATGAAGAGTAATCTACATCCAGCAAAAAAAACCCAAAATAACCCTTAAACTGGTACCCGTGTGAGGGGCATTTTTGAACTTCCATTAAGTAATGATATTTTGCTCAGTGTTGAAGGTCTTAATGTGACTTGGTGATGAAGAATAGGTATAAAGGTGCAGTTGCTTTGCTTTGGTTTTTGTCAAGTGTGTTAAAGTGTGGATTTTGACTTTTGTGTCATGTATTAATAAATCATATCCCTTCCTTTCTATTATGCTGAGACATGTCTGTGTTCACAGTTTATTTTATGATCAAAATTTAAATTGATGACAAGATGGCATTAGCTGCATAGTATATTATTAAACAATTTCATTTCAGTTTCCCACAGTGGAGGTATGTATTTATGTATGGTTTAAAATCCCGAGATCTATGTCAGATTAAATTTGAATCTATGAAGACATTCTATGATAAATTACAGTTTGTGATGAAAAAAATAATGTTACAAGAATGATTGATTGATTTTTGGTTGCTTAACAAATGTAGTGATATCCAAGCTAGGTACCTCTGGTTCATCTAAAATTGAAATCTTAGAGTCACTGACTTAAACAGGAAAAAACTCAACATATTTCTGACAATATTTGTAATGATGTGGTAGGATGAACAAGGTTTTACAGTGCAAAGTTCCATCAATTAAAACGTCAGAAACAATTTTTTTTTATAAAGCATGAGTACCTTTTGAACATATATCAATGTGACATCTTCAGTTACTTTAATCAGGTGAAATATGAATAAAAGGAGATGTGGGATATTTGTCAATGAGAAGTAACTCAGCACAATGGGAAGTAACTCAGCACAATGAGAAGTAACTCAGCACAATGGGAAGTAACTCAGCACAATGAGAAGTAACTCAGCAATACAAAGAAAAAAATATTTTGATGGAGAAGTGCCCATAGCATATGTCAAGCTCTGAACCAAACTCAGTTTTGACAAATTTTGAATATGTTATGATAACAAATTAATTGGATATCAATAATAACAAGATATATGGGCAATGCATCAATGATATCTAGCAATCCAACAACACAGTAAAACAAAAAAAAAAAGCTCATCTAAAGTAAATTTTTTAAATGTCAATGATGTAAAATATTTACCAGTAAGCCTTTTTCAGAGTACTGGTACATGTATTATGAACGAGTCACAGTGGAAATGTCAATTCTTTTGGGCACATATGTATTACGGAGATAAGATAATACTGAGATTAAAAAAAAAGCAATCATTTGTTCATGATAAGAATTTATTACTAGTATAAATAGTCCATTTATTTTATATTTTTCACTTTTGAGGTTTGACTCAAATCTTTAGGATTAAAACTTCTGAAGTTTTATATCATTTCTTTACAACTTTTAAACTACAGATAGTTTACATGTCATAATGATTGATTAAAATCTGGGTGTGCCAGTTTCATTAAAATCAAGGAATTTGCCATTTTATAATACTTATTTCACAATTTTTATTAATTAAAATTTACTTTTAAGCATGTATGTCTTCACTTGGTATGGCTGATAGCAGAATACCAGACAGTGCATTATCTGTTTCCTCCAGTAAACCAAGTCATGGTAAGGAGAAAGCCAGACATGGTTGTTGTGCAGGACAAAATGGCGGAGCCTGGTGCCCTGCTGTTGGGGATAAAACTCCTTGGTATGAAGTCAGCTTTGTTAAACCACAAACAGTTTCTGCTCTGGACTTTATATACCCATGGTATCCACAAGGAACTGTTGCAACAGAATATATGAAATCTTTTGAATTACAATTCTGGTCAGCTCTTGATACGGTTAAGTCATGGAGGACATTTGCAAAGGTATTGTGACAAATCCAGTTTATTATTCCCCCAAATAGATATGTATTAAACATCAACATTAATCATTAAATGTGAACCTAGTGCTAACAGGAATAGAAGTAGGGTTATCTGGACTTCTCCATTTTGAAAGGCACAATTTTGAGCTAGACTCACTTTACTAAACCTAAATAATACATGCTAGTTTTGTTTTTTTCTCATCCTTGATGATTTGTATGAAATATCTGCCACTGAATTTTAAGCAGACCTCATAACAATCAATTATTTGCTATCTTTATTCATTTACATTATTACTATAAAAGACAACAACATCATGGATTACTGCAATGAAATGCTTTATCACGGTGGCATCTTCAGGACAATTTAATGATAGGAAACAAATGCTGAAGAACATAAAATGAGGTTCTTATAGGGTTACAAAAAGGTTAACAAGACGTTACGTCACAATCATTGGTTTGATGACGTTAAAATGAAAGTGAAAGTAAAAGTTAATAATGCATTGTCAGTATCTTTTCCAAAATGGACAACACCTCACTGGACATTCCGTATGATTTCAACTGGCTTCACTCTGAATGAGGTACTACTTCCAATTGTGTCTGGAATATTGTGGGATGTATGGTGGTCGCACATAAAGGGCATTTTGGAAATTGCGGTAACTCTGTATGATAGTTGTGGTTATGTACACTATCCATGTTTCAAGTTCATTTTGAAAATAAAGTCTTGTGGTTTGCAGTTCATTCCATTTTGCGGTAATCTTCTTTGGACCTTGTGTGTGGTAGTTAATCGCTTTCTTTCTAGAATGAATAGGCAATCTCGGAAAGGGGTTTGTAATGTTATCCAGGCGGTGTGGTTGTATAGTACAACGCTCGTTTACATTAATGGTAAATGTTTTATTTTTATTTTGAGATAACAATTAAGTTCATATATTAATGCAAATTCCAGTATATTTTTTTTAAATTTTAGATGCAGTATACTGGTTTTTAATGATTTAAAATGTTTAAATCAAACAGTCTTTTCTGTTGTATTTTTTCAGTATTAAGTATTAAGTAAAACAATTGGCCATATAAAACTTATTCAATTGTATTTTGACTTTTGTATTTAGGATATTCCGTCTATCTACAATGACACTCTTTACTACTCAATCAGTCTTCAGCCATCGATTGTAGTTAATGCCATACGTATATTACCATTTGCATTCAAGAAGGAACCTTGCATTAGATTTGATGTTCTAGGATGTGATCCAAAAGGTCTGTAGAAAATTAATATTATTAATTATAATCAATAAGGGAGCAACCATTTAACTTCAAGGGGTGGGGGGGGGGGGGTGGGGTATGGATTTTTGTCTGCATCAGAAATTTTTTTTTTTAGTTTTTCCATGCTATCAATCAAATTATTTTTTTTTTCAAAATTTAACACTATAAGGCATGGGGAAAATCTGGATTCAGAATATTTGTTTTTGTCATCTGCTTGACCACAATATTTTTTTTCATCAAATTGGGGATCAGAATATTTTTTTAGGAAAAAACCATAACCCCCCTTGAAGTTAAATGGTCTTTCCCTAACAATAAAATTGTGAGGAAAAGGGTGTTGTGTGGACTGGTAAAGGTGTCATATTAAGAAGGCATTTATCGCTGCTGTAAAAAGAGACAGAAGATACCAGATTAAAGGGTCAATAAAAAATCAGAAATCCAAGAAAAACAAACAATACAATGTCCAAAAAGGGAAACAACGAAAACACAACATTCTATAAAACACAACACAGAAACTAAAGACTGAGCAATGTCAACCCCAACCTAAATCTTGGTGATCAGATGCTCCAGAAAGGGTAAGCATATCCTGCTTTTCTAGTGACATCCATTCATTTGTTCACAAGTAAACTTTTGGTGATAAATCAGTTTTGTTGATGTTACAATCAAGAAAAAAGATGTTGAAAAAAAAGAATTTCAAAATTCTTTTGGTATGATTGATATAGCCAATTTGAATTTGAATGAGTTTTACAAAAATTGTTGATTCCCTTTTCATAATTAAAATGAATAAAATGCCCTAAATTAAAAGAAAGTTTACACAATAGGTTTGTTGAGTCGTATTATAAAGGAAGAAGTTTGATGAAGTTCAAAACCAAATAAACATATTTCATTTTTGTATTTTACAGGACTTTGTTCAGCTGGTTATTGCCTGAATGGTGGATCTTGCATGGGACAAAATGTATGTCTCTGCACAACTGGTTATTATGGAAGTCGATGTGAACATACAGGTAAATTACAGGTTAACTGGCTTTATGCAAAGGGTGTTTGTAGCAGTCTGTGTGGAAATAGATATTAAACAACATCTGTGTGAAAACATGGGTATTGTGGCAACTAGTGTGAACATATAGATAACTGTGTATTCACACAGGATTACTATGGCTGTGAATAAAAGAAGATGGGGGGGGGGTATTTACTTAAAAAACAACATCACAAAGTCAATAGGTCAACTTAAAGTCTGAAACAAAAGAAACTGTCAACTGTCAACATACAATATTTCATGCTCTAAATTACTAAGACCCTAGATTAATGGATTGTCCAGTGGAAAATACTTCATGCATTTTCAGGATGTGGACAATTTGCAAATGAATGTAACAGACTATCAAGGATTACCAGATCTCGGAAAGGACAAAAACATAACTAAGGACAGCCATTGATGAGGGTCCCAACATGGGACAGGTAGATGAACATGTAACAGGGTTATACTGGATATTTTAGACCTCCCTCTTTCAAACTTCATCAATGGAAAAGATAAATTTGTATGGAATTATTGCGAACCCAATGATACTTTTCCACAGATTCACCTGCAAATTACCTGTCGATTTATTGGAACCCAATGATACTTTTCCACAAATTCACCTTCAAGTTACCTGTCGATTTAAACTTTTGTAAGTCCTTTTGTCCCATCTAATAAATACAACAGCTATTGTTCTCTGTGTTGTTTATTTGATGGGACCTTTAAATTTCTTCCAAGAGAAATCTACCACTCACTGATTAATTTAAATGAACAAAAAATTGGAACTGTCAAAAATGAAAATACATGTACAAATACTAAATAAGGACTAAAAAAAACTGCATGTGGTGTTGTTTTTATTCAATATCAATAATTCATTTTTAATAGTTTCAATATAAACACTGATTCAAAAATGGGTTTCTGAACAAATTTTTTATATTTTCCCTATTAAAATTTGCTTTTTTTTGTGTGGTTGACGAATAAAAATTTGAAAATTATTGTGTTTAAATTAAGGTCTTGATAAATGTATTCTATAACTGAACAACAACAAAAACATTCAAAATCATTGGAACAATACTAAAAATTTTGTCAGAAATAAACTTAGTTTATACAACTATTTCCCCCAAAAAAGAAGATAATTTTTTGGTCAGGTAAATTAATCAATGAGTGATAGATTTCTCCTAGAAGAAATTTAAAGGTCCCAGTGAAAAAACTACACAGAGAACAATAGCTATTGTATTTATCGGCGTTTTGCATTTGCGCCGATCTGCATTTCATTTGCGCCGATTTTTCTTTTCATTTGCGCCGATTTTTTTACAGGTAAATTACAGGTAAATTATAGGTGAATGTTATTTTTCATTTATCATTATAGACCTCTTCCAATCGCCAGTTGTACAAATGTTATGAATTGTCAATCATAACATGTATATAACTGTTGTCCTCTGCTCACCACGGGGAGGTGGAAGTAGGATTTTGAGCAGGATAAGTCAATTTAAAAGCCCTATGTTCACTTACTTTAAAATCAAGAAGTAAAAACCTAAGATAAAAGCACTCTGTTTATACTAAAATGACGAATCAAAAATCTATTTACAACATTACAGTCCATAAAAACGGAATACATTAAAATCATAAATCTGTTCTTGTCGAGTATTTATAGGCAACACATCTAATATATTCCTTTCTTGTGATTTCGTCTCTATATTTGTTGTAATTGTCAATAACGAAGTCCATCTTTTCTTTCTCTGGCTAACATACTGATGCGGGCATTTCTAGAGTTCGCATTCTAACTTACGTAATGGCCTGGATTTTCTTAACTTAAACATAAGTGAACAACGTTTATAACCAAATTTTACCAATATACATTCAAGGTATAGTACATGTACAAATATTTACTCACCTGTGTTAAACTGTAAATGCAATTTAGGAGCAAATATAAAATCGGCGCAAATGAAAAAATGAAATCGGCGCAAATGAAAGAATGAAAATTTTAAAAATCAGCGCAAATGTCATACGCCCGTATTTATTCAATAGGACAAGAGAATAGACAAAAGTTTAAATACCCTGGTCAAGAGCAAACAACTCTGTGGAAGACTTTCATTTGGTTGGCAATAAACTTTTGTAAGTTCTTTTGTCCCATCTAATAAATACAATAGCTATTGTTCTCTGTGTAGTTTATTTGATGGGACCTTTAAATTTCTTCCAAGAGAAATCTATCACTCACTGATTAACTTACCTGAACAAAAAATTGAACTGTCAATAATGAAAATACATGTACAAATACTAAATAAGGACTCAAAAAACTGCATGTGGTGTTGTATTTATTCAATATCAATAATTCATTTTTAATAGTTTCAATATAAACACTGATTCAAAAATTAAAAGTTGATTTCTGAACAAATTTTTTATATTTTCCCTATTAAAATTTGCTTTTTTTTGTGTGTTTGACAAATAAAAACTTGAAAAATTATTGTGTTTAAATTAAGGTCTTGATAAATGTATTCTATAACTGAACAACAACAAAACATTCAAATTCATTGGAACAATACTAAAAATTTTTGTCAGAAATAAACTTTTTAAAATTAAATCAGTGTTTATATTGAACAGATTGAAAATATATTATTGATGTTGATTAAATACAATATTGCATGCAGTTTATGCAAGTTTATACAACTATTTCCCCCAAAAAAGAAGATAATTTTTTGGTCAGGTAAATTAATCAATGAGTGATAGATTTCTCCTAGAAGAAATTTAAAGTTCCCAGTGAAAAAAACTACACAGAGAACAATAGCTATTGTATTTATTCAATAGGACAAGAGAATAGACAAAAGTTTAAATACCCTGGTCAAGAGCAGACGACTCTGTGGAAAACTTTCATTTGGTTTGCAATAAGATGCAGAAAGGGTTTTACCGGTAGTCTTGTTTCAAACCAAAATTTTATTGGGACTTTTTGATTTTAAAAATAGATCATTATTGAAAATTAGGCATGTTTTGAAAATCTTTGCATTCATGTTTAGCCATCTTGTTTGTATAAATAAGTTTTGTGTTTTAATGAATACCTTTTTTTCAGCCAACCAGTTATTGACATTGAATGCTGGATTTCAGACAATTGCACATCAGGTCCTGCAGACAACAACCACTATTAAGTTTACTGTCCATGGAAGTCCAACACTGGTTCCCACTGCAACTGGTCAAGCTATTTACATAAACAGTAGCAGTCAATACCTTGTTATTGATAGAACTGGCTTCACTTCTTGTTTGAGTGATTTGGATAAATGTACAAACGGTTTTACCATTACAACAAACGTCCATTTTACTACACTAACAGACAATACATACATAATATCCAGTGGTGGAAACTTGCAGAACACAAAGGGAATAGCACTGTACTACCAAGGTGGAAATATTCACTTTGTTGTTAGTACATCTACAAAAACATGGCATTTGGTAACATCACACAAACTGACCCTGAATGTATGGCACCATCTAGAACTTTCCTGGAATCAAAATCTTGGATGTGAACTGGTGGACAATGGTAAATTGGTAGGATCAGTAACTCAGCCGATCCCTCATCATGCCACTGTTGTAAAACAGATAGCCATTGGATATGGATATACACAGTCAACCACTCATATCTCAATGAAAGTAGAGGGATTTAAAACAGTTGATGCTAACAGAGCTAGTTTAGTTGTAGCAGGAATATTCACAAGTAAGATTATATTAAAGATAATTGAACTTTATGGATTACAGTTTTCATTTGTATTATAACAAAGCATTATTTGAATCTGGAAAAATTTTGAATTCTGGAAAATTGATAAGAAATGTATGATAAAAACTACTAGGGATTCATTTATATTTGTGGGTACCAATTTTTATGGATTGAAGAAAAATCATATTTTCGTGGTAACTCGATTTCGTGTATTTGCCTTAGTTTCCACACAAGCCTATAAAAAATTAATCATTTGTTGAAAATTTTTATTCATGGTTTGTCTCTACCAATGAAATCAAGGAAAATGGGTATCCAGCGAATAATAATAAATCCACAGTATAGTAACCCAATTAAGGAGGGTTAGACATGCATTCATTTAAGTAATGAATGCATGGCTAATGGGAGTTAGTTAGTTCATGCTGAAATATCAGTGAAACTCAGAAAGTAATCTGAAGATTAGCAATGTGCGCATGGCTAACCCTTCTTAGTTGGGTAAGTTTTCATCATACATTTCTTATCAATTTTCCAGAACTCAAAATTATTCCAGATTCAAATAATTCCTTGTTATATGAGTATTTTAAAAAGAAATGAAGAAACATGAAGTTTATCACAACACGCTAAAATGAGCAATATTTATTTTGCATCTAATTATATTACATTTATTACATTGGTTGCAATGGATTACCGTGATTTCCCAGTGAAATAAAAACAGATAATTTAAAATGTGAAATAAACTCAGTTATTTCACTCCTCTGACGTTATACAACAATAGGTGTTGTCAAGATGTTGTGGATGACGTTGCATCAAAGCAAATTGTGGATTCGTAGAAAAAGATATAGTTCCTTTCATTTTCTACTTTAATTCCATTAAAAAGCCCACTGTCAATGATATTTCAAAAATGAAAAAAAAATTTGTATAGAATTTTACTGCCATTTAAAATTTGTTACATGATTCATCCAATTCCTGATCATTAATGCTGTATAAAGAAGAAAACCTGCAACAAAGACTCAGTTTTACAGAGAAATTTAACTTGAAGCATTTTATAGCTTTACATTTTTTATCATCTTTAGTTTCAAGTTAATCACACAAAATATATAACATTACATGAACACCCATATGACGATGATAAATCATCTTACTGTTTTACTCTTCTATTCTCTTAGTATGTACAATTCAGTGACTGTCAAGCATTTTATTTGTGAGTATCTCAAATAAAATGCTTGACAGTCACTGCATTGTATCATTGAATTATAATTGTCATTTGGGTGTTTATGTAATGATATTTGTGTGATTAATTTGAGAGTAAAGATGAACATTTTCATGTGTTTGGAGCCTTTAGAATATAACGGCAAAAGCCAAAGAAATACTTTTCATTTCTGTTAGGTAGTAGAATTTGCAGCAACTTTGTGGTTGAATTTTTTTTTTTCAAACTATATAAATAAGAAGATGCAGTATAAGTGCCAATGAGACAACTCTCCATCTAAGTCACAATGTATAAAAAGTTAACAATTATAGGTCAAAGTACGACCTTCAAAACGGAGCCTTGGCTCACACCAAACAGCAAGATATAAAGGGCCCCAAAATGACTAGTGTAAAACAATTCAAACAGGAAAACCAATGGTTTAATCTATATAAAAAATGAGAAACGAGAAACACCTATGAACCACACCAACAAAAGACAACCACTGAACAACAGGCTCCTGACTTAGGACAGGTGCATAAAAATGCATACTGTTTCTAATTATTTATTTTGTTTTCACATTTACCATATTGCACAAGTTTTTATTTTAATTTTCAAAAACAGAATACAGTGTATCTTGACTAAATTATAAGTTATATATTTTACAGATAATACAAAGAACATTTTAAAATTCATATAATCTTTCTGCTGTTGACTATAGAAAACAAAACGAGGCCTGCTTTTTCATATAGTTTTAATACACTGCAACATTTTATAGTAATTTTTTCATTCTTCACAGCTACAAATTTTTCTGAAACTTGGTTATTCCACATTTTATTTGCAGCTGCAATATCAACAACCCACACAACTACAACACCTACCACTATGGTTACCATGACAACTGAAGAACCAACCACTACAGTAACAACTAACCAAATGACAACAGGTATTTTCACAGGCATATAGTACTTTGATATTGAATAAATCCTATATAAAATATATAGGGGAAAAGTTTTGCCTTTAAATCTTTACCTTAGATTTTGTGAAAACTACCAGCCGCATTTAATAAAACCCAAAAATATCAAGTTTCTCTGTTAAGGATAAGAAAGGCAAAATATGTCTTAACTATGACAGGAAGGGCAAAAAGAGAAATCCTTGTGATAATACCCCAACAGTGAAGTTTACAAAATGCTTTTGGTATAAAAAAAAAATAATCTAGGATTCTTACATAAGGTGTGGTTAATAATAAAACATTTTTATCTACAAACTTTAGTGAATTGTCATACTGCATGCTGTGAGTTGACTTGAAACATTTATAGCAGTTATAAATTCATAAAAAAAACAACTTTAGTTGATGCTCAATACTGTCCATTGCTTGACGATGTGAATTTGTAATTGTTGAATACCTTCCGACAATTGTTATTATGAAAGACAGAAATAACAGCCCTGTTCCCCCAACATATTGCATATTTCCTAGTATTTTAAGAATAATCTGAATTTGTTTGTCTCATGTAAACTATGCCACACATCCTTTCTTTTGCTCTCTTAACTTTATTAATAAAAAAATTGTTATGGATGCTGTTATTTTTTTTGTATTTGTATTTTGTGCATGTTCATATTCATATTATCATGATTTTCATATTTCATTTTATTTATGGCAAGACGGACATATTAACCCTATTTGCAATGTACAGTTCATTAAAGAGTTTTTGTTCATTCATTTAATAAGATGAAATTTTATATCAAATCAGACTAAAGACTATTATGCTTTATTTGACTATGTGCCACTTAACCTCAAAATTTTGAGAAACATGGCTAAAAGACATCATGTGACAGCTACTTTTCAACTGCATACCATGTACCAGGTGTCTAATAGATTGATAGATGTATGTATAATATAGGTTAAAAAAAGGAGAAATGGTATGAATTTCAATGAGACAACTATCTGACAAAGGACAAGGATGTAAGATTATAATTTAACATTCAAACAGAAAAAAAAAACCCAAAAAAATCTTATTATAAATCCATTGATTCTTACTCTAGTTCATTATTTTTTTACATTTTGTTAATGAATTTTGAAGGATTGCACAGTATATTTTTATGTTTTTATAAAATTTAACCCTCACATTTATGTCATTATATATATAATATTCTGGAGTAAATTTATTTCTCAATTTTTGAACTGCATTATTTGAAATCACATATGCAATTAATGCATTTAATTGTTTAGCTCCACAATAGGTATTTTCTCGGTCTACAGTTTTTAATGGGAAATTTCATTTTTATAATGATATCAGAAGATCGTTTTGGGCTGTAGATGTTTAGGCTTTGTGAGTTTTTTAATTTGCTGGTTTACAAATCTGCTGACCACATGTTTTTTTTAGATTTTCTGAAGTTTCATGATTTTTGTGTCCTGCAGCTGATTTGGGAAATGTTGTTAGCACAAATAATTTTTAGAATGAAACTCATAGAAATAGTCCATTAAAATAAGTTCATTTTGTGATTTTATAATCCTTCTGTATGATTTTAGTTCAAATTTTGGATCAGCTGTTTCAAACATATAATGCATGTCATAGTTGAAATAGACAAGTCCAAACAGGAAAGACAGTTAAGTCGAGTTACAGAAGATGACCAAACAAGTTGATATTTCATATCATATCATAGATTTATTGAAAAATGTTAATTAAATATCAAAAGAGGGTTAAATTACCTTGCATTAAGGTAAAAAATCAATATCACTGATACATATTCTCTGGGTATATTGAAATAAATGCAACTGAAGTATATCCACATCTACTTTTATTACCTGAAGATAATCATAAAAAACAGATTGGTGAAAAGTTTTGGACAGTCAGATTAATACATAAGAAGCAGGATTTGTATTCACACTTTAATATGTTCTCATTCTGAATATGACAGAAAGTTTTTCTTGAAACTGTAATTGTTCATGAAACTGTTACTGTTAATCTAGTACGTTAATCCACCATTATTACAAATTAATGATTATATATTTCTTAGGTTATCTTCCTTATTTTCTAAGATCATATATATTGGAATAGTAAATCTAAGTGGAAATGATTTCATCGCTTTCATTCTAAGAAGGTAATTCTCTTATTATTTTTCTCTCAGATTTTTCTTGTGGAGCTAAGGAAGTGAAATTTGACTTCATTGAGATTAAAGGCAATGTTCTTGTTACACCTGAGTATAACTTTACTGTGTACAAAAATCCAACAATACGACCAGAAAATAATGGACATGCTGTACTCATTCTGAACACCACAGGTCAATATGTAGAACTACCTAACAAAGGTATAGAATGTATACAAGATATGACTAAGTGTGAGAGTGGGTTTACACTTAGTTTGGAAATTAAATGGTTGGACATAAATTCTACCAACAAAAGGTACATTTTCTCCAGTGGGGGTGATAAGGTCAACAATTCTGGCCTTGCTCTCTACCTGTGGCATGGGGAACTTTATTGTTCTGCAAAGAAGGATAAAACAATCTGGACAGCCAAAGCAAAGCTGAATGTGAAAGCAGGAGAATGGCACTCTTACCAGGTATCATGGAACAAGAAAGATGGATTTGTTGTTTATTTAGATGGTCAGGTCTTCATGCAGCACAGTATTAAGTACCCTAATCCAGCACAGCCTGGGACTTTTCCGTTACTTATTGCCACAACACCAGGTTATAATGAGACATCATTGATGGAAGTGCGTAACCTGTACACCTGGACTGCTTCCAGGGATGTTTTAATTAATCACACCTGTATAACAGGTATGTATAGCTCTTAATGTTGTATTGTTATACAAATTGTAAAAGGGACAGTTTCAAGGAGATGTGGTTTCCATGTAAACTTCTGAATTTAAACATATTCAACCATTGATGAACAAATTTACAAAGAATTTGTTAGGTTTATTTTATTTAGAAAAAATTGTTTCTTCACAATTTTATTAGAAACTTTTACTTGCTTTCCTGTACTTTTATATACACACACATTTTGTATGCAAAACTCAATCAGTGATGCTCAAATAAAAAAATAAAAAGGCCAAATAAAGTACAAACATTAAGAGCATTGTGCACCTAGAGTTCCTAAAGGTTTTTCCTAATACAGCTAAGGTAATCTATTCCTAGGGTAGATTAGTATTTAAAAAAAAAAAAAATATTTTGAGAATTATTGCTTTCTGACACTACTATACTTTTACTTCTCTTTGGTTTGCTCTTGTACGTTACAAATTTTCTAAGTATAGGACATTCTTAAGCAGGGATAGAAGGTAGTAGTGTACAGAATCGGGATAATAAAGAACAAATATTATCTGAATTAATTGACTGCAGATTTTGTAAGTTTTGTGCAATAAATATGCAAGTGATATTGGCCATATTTCAAGACATGATGGGGTGTTTCATGCTTTTAATATGTTTATATGTCACTCGCTTTTATATCACTTAAATTTTGTATATCGGTAGATATATAAAATAGATATGAAACAACTCAATTATCTTGTCTTAACCAGTTACCAAAGGGAGAACATTTAGATGACTCAGAGATAGTTATATCCCCTAGATAACTTGGTTGATAATCCATATCTCGAATAATTCAAGCCCTTACCATCTCCGAATCTCTCCACCTTTTGATGTAATAATCGATAGTGAGTTTAATATAATGACTGTACTATTCGGGTTAGATAATCTATTGCATTCTGGTTTTTTTTCAGAATTTCCAACAATGCCACCTACAACTGGTAAGATATTATTATAATGAAGCATGCTACGTTTTTTCTCACTGTAAAATATTTAATATCACTGATAGAAATTGCATGTAGTTAGGCACAAAATCTGATGTATACTTCATGGTAGTCTGAGTTCTTTATTTACAGGGGAAAATATCAATTTATCAATATGTTTTTTAAATATCTTATTTACTGTTTTCACCAAAGTTAACATTACAGAACAACTTAGTGTTAACTTTCTCTTTTAAGTCTTTGATAAATAGACTTTTCAAGTTCATATTTTTTTTAATGTTTTTATGAAATCATAATTTGAAAAAGTGCTGAAAAACTTTATTGAAAGCTTTTATTTATCTATCAAGTTTTTAACAGAAAGGAAAGAATAAGTGACTTCATTGAAATTTTATGAAGAAGTTTCTCAATTTGATGATTATGTAGCATGATTTTCAAATACTTCTGATTGTCAATCGATTGTTTTACTGTCTCATTTAGAATTAAGTTTGTTCATGATGTTCAGTCAGGTTTATCTTTAATTTATTTAATGCTAATCAGATACGATCAACATTGAGAACAATGTGTGTTAGAACTTTTTCTTATATCCAAAGTTAAAAACTATCAAAATCAAATTAGAATAAAATTCAGGATTAAAATATCTGTATTCTGATACAATTTTTTAGCTCTTTTCCTTGGTTTTTACATTAAATAACAAAAGTTTTTAGATGATCAATAGTAAAAAGTACATTTGAGTTATAAACCTGATAATCATGAAACCATAAGATCTGTAGCATTATAGAACTACATTACAACACACCACTTTACTTCTGTAATGTAGTCATTATTCAATATATTCTGCATGATGTATATATACTAAACTTGCACAATGCCAACATTAGTAACTAATATTGCACTGAACTAAATTTTCACAACTTAGTAGTGTACAGGTTGTCTTGCGGTTTTTTTATAAAACTGAGTTGCCCATTGTTTTCACTTTACTTCATGATACATTTATTGTTTTTAATATAATTTGAATATGGTGAGTATTATTTCATTATTTTCATTAAAATTTAAATAAACACTCAGATATTAAAATAAAATTGAGTGAAAATCAAATGTAATTTTTATTTTCTATACAGCATACCACTTCAGCTTTATAGCTATTAGTCATAATGTTATGACTACAACTGCCTTTAATTTATCTGTACATGGACATCCACATTTGGAGCATCACTCTTTTACTAAAAACCCTGTGTTGGTACTTAATGGAAGCAATCAGTATGTTGAATTCAGTAACAGTTCTAACATTGGATGTCTGAACAACCTGGGTGTCTGCCGAACAGGATTTACTATTGAGATTGATGTCAGTCTGATCAAGGTCAATCAGCAGCAGAAGACAGTGATTATCTCCAATAGCAACCAATACCTGAATGGAACTGGTATGGCACTGTATTTCTATAATGGACATCTGTACGGATACGTCAGTACTAACAACCAGACATGGAAGGTGGAGTACAAATATAAAGTAATTGTCAATATGTGGCAAAAATACCAGATATCATGGAGCGTAGCCCATGGTTTGACAATATTTATTGATGGCCACCAGATGGCGTCCACCACACAGGCCACTATCCACAAATACACATTAAATCAGCATTCCTTAACAATAGGAAAACTACATTCCATGTCTTACACAACATCAATGAAACTGACAGGATTAACAATCTGGCAGGCCTCTCATCAAGTCCTCATACAACATGGAATACTTACAACAGGTATCATAGTGTGACTGCTTTTTACCATATAGACAGTATATATATCAATAGATGTGATTTTGCTTTTTAGGTGATATTTGGTTCCAAAACAGTAATAAAAAAATATTTGCAAAATTCTTAAGAGGAAATTTTTGAGAACTGTGGTCAATCATCTTTAAACTGTAAAGTCAATCACATCATAACATGTTTTCCTCTGAAATAGCACTTGGTATGAAGACATAACATCTTCATGGGTGAAAATAAAACAAAACTTACAGAGCTGCATAAAAAAAATCTGTACTTTTATCAGTTTTGTGTAATCAAATTTTCACATGATTTTTAGTATGTAGGGTTTCTGTCTGTTTTGGAACCTTTCCCTTCCTTTATGTTATTAGCCATTTATAAAGATAAATTGCATGTTAGAAAATAATGAGTGTAAAGTTTCTTATTTAACTTTACATGATTACTACTAGTATATAATTACTAAATCTAAGTAAAAGTTACTTTTGTCTTATTAATTCACCTTTTTATGATCTTTTATACTTACTGAAATGTATGAGAGAAATAGAAGGTAAAAGTAGGTCTTTATTAAACAAAAAAAAGGTTAACGAATAATAATGTATTTCATATTTTTTTTTATATATCTGAGTCATTGTAATGTTTGCCCAAATTGACTTTCTTTTTGAAAAAGAAATTACTTCATTGATTGTGTATCTACAGCTGGTTCTGCTGATTCTACAACAACATTAAGTTCTACAGCAACAGGGGTCACAACATCAACACCAAGTTTAACATCAACATCAACATCATCTCTAAGAACAACTTCTACAACTCCCATAGAAACAACAGTACCAGGAACCATAACAACCACAAGTCCTGAAATCATTAAAACTTACCATTTCGGTTTTATAGCTATTAAACACAGTATTTTAACAACATCTTCCTATAATTTATCTGTCCATGGAAATCCACATTTGGAGCAGAATTCAGTTCTTGTCCTGAATGGGAGCAATCAGTATGTAGAATTTAGTAATAATTCAAACATTGGATGCTTGAACAACCTAGCTGTCTGTCATTCTGGATTTACTATCAAGGTCAATCTAAGTCTGATCAAGGTCAATCAGCAGCAGAAGACAGTGATTATATCCAATAGCAACCAATACATAAATGGAACTGGTATGGCACTGTACTTCTATAATGGACATTTGTATGGATATGTCAGTTCTAGCAACCAAACATGGAAAATAAACTACAAATATAAAGTAGATGTGACTAAGTGGCACAAATACCAGATATCATGGAGTGTGGCTCATGGTTTGACAATATTTATTGATGGCCACCAGGTGGCATCCACAACACAGGCCATTACCCACAAATATACCTTAATTCATCATTACTTAACAATAGGAAAACTACATGCAATCTCTTACACAACATCAATGAAATTGACAGGATTAACAATCTGGCAGGCATCTCATCAAGTTCTTGTACAACATGGAATACTTACTACAGGTATTGAGGTGTGATTGCTTCAATATAGGCAGTAAATATATACATATATGTAGAAGTGTTTTTGCTTTTTAGGAGATATCTGGTTCCAAAACAGCAGTCAAAAAACTTTTAATTTTGCAAACCTCTTTACTTTGTTGAAATTTGAGAACTATTGACATTGATTTACAAACTCAACAGTAAATCACATTTCAAAATGGTCATCTCATTAAAAGCAATTGGTATCTTTATGAGTAAAGAAAATGTGAAACTTACTGAGCTGCATAAAAACAAAATATGTGCTGTTGTCATTTTGTGTCTAAGCACATTTTCACATGATGATTATTTTTTTAAGTATGTAGTTGTCTGTTTTGGAACCTTTCCCTGCCTTTGAGTGTTTAGCCAATTATAATCATAAATTACATGTTAGACAATAAGTATTATATAGTTGTAAAATTAAATTTACTGGTATATTATTTAATGTAAATTAAAAATTATATTTTTTCTAATTAATTCAAATTTCCATGATCCTTTTTGCTTACTGGAATGGATGAGAGAAACAGTAGCAAAAAGTAGTCTTTTTAAAACAAAAATTAATAAAGAATAATAATATTTTTCATATTTAACCGGATTTTCGAAGGAAATATCTGTTATTAAAATGGGGATGTACGGCGGGCGGCTGGGAGGGCAGATGGGCGGCTACCAAACAGTGTCTCCACAATAACATGAAAACGCTTTAACAAATTTTTTTCAAATTTGATATGTTGTTTCCTGGGACTTAATGATAGTCTAGTTTGGATTTAAATTTGAATAGTTGTAATGTTTGCCTCCATTGACTCTCTTTTTGAAAAAGAACTCACTTTAATAATTGTGTATCTACAGTTGGTACTTCTGATGCTACACCACCTGTAACACCTACAACAACATTACGTTCTACACCAGCACCAATTTCTACCACAACGAAGATCACAACTTCAACACCAAGTTCTACCACAACAAAGATCACAACATCAACACCAAGTTCTACCACAAGGAAGATTGATACATCAACACTAAGTTCTACCACAACGAAGATCACAACATCAACACCAAGTTTTACCACAATGAAGATCACAACTTCAACACCAAGTTCTACCACAACGAAGATCACAACTTCAACACCAAGTTCTACCACAACGAAGATCACAACATCAACAACAAGTTTAACATCAATGTCAACAACCACTTCAGGAACAACTTCTACAACTCCCATAGAAACAGCAATACCAATAACCATAGCAACCACAAGTCCTGAAGTCATCAAGACTTACCATTTTGGTTTTATTGCTATCAGCCATAATATTTTAACAACATCTTCCTATAATTTATCTGTACATGGAAGTCCACATTTGGAGAAGCATTCAGTTCTTGTCCTAAATGGGAGCAATCAGTATGTAGAATTCAATAATATATCAAACATTGGATGTCTGAACAACCTAGCTGTCTGTCATTCTGGATTTACCATCACGGTTGATGTCAGTCTGATCATGGTCAATCAGCAGCAGAAGTCAGTGATTATCTCCAATAGCAACCAATACCTGAATGAAACTGGTATTGCACTGTACTTCTATAATGGACATCTGTATGGATACATCAGTACTAACAACCAGACATGGAAAGTGGATTACAAATATAAAGTAGATGTCACTATGTGGCACAAATACCAGATATCATGGAGTGTGGCTCATGGTTTGACAGTATTTATTGATGGCCACCAGGTGGCATCCACCAAACAGACCACTACCCACAACTATACATTAATTCAGCATTCCTTAACAATAGGAAAACTACATTCCATGTCTTACACAACATCAATGAAATTGACAGGATTAACAATTTGGCAGGCATCACATCAAGTCCTTATACAACATGGAATATTAACTACAGGTATTGAGATGTGATTGCTTCAATATAGGCAGTAAATATATACATATACATAGCAGTGGTTTTGCTTTTTAGGTAATATTTGGTTCCAAAACAGCACCCAAAGACACTTGCTCAATTTTGCAAAACTCTCTTTGTGGAAGTTTAGAACTATGGACATTGATCTATAAACTGTATAGTAAATCACATTTCAAAATACTCTTTTCATTTAATAGTTGAAATCTTTATGAGTAAAAACAAGGAAAAAAGAAAACTTACTGAACTGCATAAAAACAAAATCTGTACTTTTATCATTTTGTGTGTAAGCAAATTTCCACATGATGTTAAACTATTTTAATAAATAGGATTGTCTGTTTTGGAGCCTTTCCCTGCCTTTATGTTTTAGCCATTTATAAACATAAATTGCATGTTAGACAATAATGAGTGTATAGCTGTAACATCAATGTTCTACTTCTACTTGACATGGTTACTACTGGTAAAATAATTACTAAATGTAAATTAAAATTGATTTTTTTCTAATAAATTCACATTTACATGATCCTTTATGCTTACTAAAATGTATATATGACAGAAATAGTAGCAAAAATTCTTTTTTGAAAGAAAAATTATTTAAAGAATAATAATTTAATTGTATATTTGTATTTAAATTTGAATAGTTGTAATGTTTGCCTCCATTGAATTTATTTTTGCAAAAGAACTTACTTCAATATTTGTGTATCTACAGTTGGTACTTCTGATTCTACACCAACTTCAACTCCTACAACAACATTAAGTTCACTGGCACCAAATTCTACAGCAACACAGTTCACAACATCAACCCCTAGTTTAACATCAAAATCAATAGCATCTCTAAGAACAACTTCTACAACTCCCATAGAAAGAACTGTACCAAATACCATAGCAACAACAAGTCCTGAAGTCATCAAGACTTACCATTTTGGTTTTATTGCTATCAGCCATAATATTTTAACAACATCTTCCTATAATTTATCTGTCCATGGAAGTCCACATTTGGAGAAGCATTCAGTTCTTGTCCTAAATGGAAGCAATCAGTATGTAGAATTCAGTAATAATTCAAACATTGGATGTCTGAACAACCTGGCTGTTTGTCATTCTGGATTCACTATCAATGTGGATGTCAGTCTGATCAAGGTAAATCAGCAGCAGAAGACAGTGATTATCTCCAATAGCAACCAATATCTGAATGAAACTGGTATGGCACTGTACTTCTATAATGGTCATCTGTACGCATATGTCAGTACTAACAACCAGACATGGAAAGTAGAGTACAAATATAAAGTAGATGTCACTATGTGGTACACATATCAGGTATCATGGAGTGTGGCTCATGGTTTGACAGTATTCATAGATGGCCACCAGGTGGCATCCACCACACAGACCACTACCCACAAATATACCATATTTCAGCATTCCTTAACAATAGGAAAACTACATGCAGTGTCTTACACCACATCAATGAAATTGACAGGATTAACAATCTGGCAGGCATCTCATCAAGTCCTTGTACAACATGGAATACTTACTACAGGTATTGAGGTGTGATTGCTTCAATATAGGCAGTAAATAAATATATACATAGAAGTGTTTTTGCTTTTTTGGTGATATCTGGTTCCAAAACAGCAGTCGAAAATGCTTGCTCAATTTTCAAGCCTCTAGTCTTTGAGGAAATTTTAGAACTATGGACATTGATCTTTAAACTGCAAAGATCATCACGTAATAAAATGTTTCTCTTATTGAATAGCAATTGCTTTGGACCTGATATCTTTATGAGAGAAAACAAAAGAAAACTTACTAAATTGCTAAAGAAAAATCTGTACTGTTATCATTTTTGTGTAAACATATTTCCACATGATGTTAAAATTTTATAAGTATGTAGGTTGTCTGTTTTGGAGCCTTTCCCTACTCTTGAGTGTTTGCTATTTATAATCTTACATTGTATGTTAGACAAAAATGATCTGATTTAACTTTACATGATTCTTACTGGTATTTAATTAGTGAATGTAGATGAAAGATGTTTTTTTTTTATTTAATTCACATTTCAATGATCATTTTTTATACTAACTGGAATTAATTATAATATGACAGAATCAGTAAAATAAAGAAAGACAAAGTTAAATGAAAAATATGTAAAGAATAATAATTTTATTTCATATTTTTATTTAAATCTAATTAAATCATTGTAATGTTTGCCTCCATTGTTTTTCTTTTTGAAAAAGAACTTATTTCAATAATTGTGTATCTACAGTTGGTACTACTGATTCTACACTGACTGTAATTCCAACAACAACATTAAATTCTACACCAGCACCAAGTTCTAAAGCAACACAGATGACAACATCAACACCAAGTTTAACATCAATGTCAACAACCACTTCAGGAACAACTTCTACAACTCCCATAGAAACAGCAATACCAATAACCATAGCAACCACAAGTCCTGAAGTCATAAAGACTTACCATTTTGGTTTTATTGCTATCAGCCATAATATTTTAACAACATCTTCCTATAATTTATCTGTCCATGGAAATCCACATTTGGAGCAGAATTCAGTTCTTGTCCTAAATGGAAGCAATCAGTATGTAGAATTCAGTAATAATTCAAACATTGGATGTCTGAACAATCTGGCTGTTTGTCAATCAGGATTTACTATCAAGGTTAATGTCAGTCTGATCAAGGTCAATCAGCAGCAGAAGACAGTGATTATCTCTAATAGCAACCAATATCTGAATGGAACTGGTATGGCACTATACTTCTATAATGGACATCTGTATGGATACATCAGTACTAACAACCAGACATGGAAAGTGTATTACAAATATAAAGTAGATGTCACTTTGTGGCACAAATACCAGATATCATGGAGTGTGGCCCATGGTTTGACAATATTTATTGATGGCCACCAGGTGGCATCCACCACACAGACCACTACCCACAAATATACCATATTTCAGCATTCCTTAACAATAGGAAAACTACAAACAGTCTCTTACACAGCATCAATGAAATTGACAGGATTAACAATCTGGCAGGCATCTCATCAAGTCCTCGTACAACATGGAATAATTACTACAGGTATTGAGGTGTGATGCTTCCTACTATATAAACAGTATAAATATATATATACTTAGAGGAGTTCTGTTATTGCTTTTTAGCTGCAATCATTGTGATACAGTATTCCTGATATTGAATGAAATGAATTGATTGCTATTGTATTTATCTGTAGAATTTATGCAGAGAAAAGCAATTTATTATGTAGAAAAGCTACTTTTATGCTAAGATAGTTGATCTGTCATGAAATAAAAGTCCTTTATAATATTAGTTCCAAATAGAACAAGTATTCTGTAATATTGTTTCCACTGGAAAAAATATTACATTATTTGTTCCTTACGGAATAAAGGGTATAGAATATTTGTTCAAACAGGAACAAATATTATGGCATTGTTTATAACAAAGTTTCCAGGAGAACTTCTGTTAGGCGGAACAAATATACGTTGACAGATCAAGTGTTGACATGCAATATTTAATCCTTTTTTACTCTATATGTAAAAGTAATTATTTTGAAAATTAGGTAACTTAATACAGAATTGTTTGACCAGTTTTCCTTTTAACTGCTCTGTTTAAATTATATATATTTAGCTACTCTAATCTTAGCATGGTTTGAAATAGTATGACTGTCATGTAACAGCTATATTTAGGTACTTAATTTCAGTTCTGTTGGAACAGTATTTTAAATTCAATGCTTCCAGCGTTTTATATAGCTGTTGACAATCTTGTACAGAATTTAGTTTGAAACTTTGGTAACGGGTAAATGAAACAGTTTATGAGTAAAAGTTGCAGATATATTTGTACCACGTAAAATTCCATTGTGTCAGATAATTTAGCCGTATTTACTATATGGACTCAATTTTATTTCAGATTATAGCTGGACGTTTAATGTATTTTCATATTTTGAATTAGCTTCAGTTTGTGCTCCCTGACTGGTGCTTTATGTATTGCTGCTTACATCATGTGTACAAAAGTTGAAAAAATTGATAAAATTGTAGTGATTTAGATTTGTTATTTTAAAGTGAAAAATTACCTTTGGTTGATATGAAATTTTCTACTGTTGTCTTGTAAACAGGAAATACTCAACATAATTTTATAGAGAGAACTCTAGCTTTGCAAATATGAAAGGAGTGTTGAATTATACATTAACTTTGAAAAAAAGGATGAATTAATTTTTTGAGGTTTCTATTTGGACAAATTAAATGAATATTTTTGATAAGCTATGAAAAAAAGGAAAAGTCATGATATGGATACATAAAATTTAATTGCTTGTAAATATGTGTACTTTGACCTATAATGGTTTACTTTTATAAATTTTGACTTGGATGGAGAGTTGTCTCATTGGCACTCATACCACATCTTCTTATATCTATAAACATGTTGCCATTAAACTATATTGATATTTTTTTCACAGCCATGCCAACAACCACTACAATATCAACAACTACAACCAAAATGGACATTCCAAAATTTGAATGGAACTTTGTGACAATACCACACAGCCAAACCATCATTGGGTCAAAGTTCAATGCCACTGTACATGGAACTGTAAATGTAAACACTTCAGTGGGATTTAACTTCAATAATAACAACCAATATATTGACCTTGGTATACATAACAATTTATGTTTTGGAAACCTGAGTCTCTGTACATGTGGACTAACAATCAAGATCACGATTATGTTTACCAAACTAGAAGAAAATACTGTTATTATATCAAGTGGGGCTGAGAAAGCTACTGGAACTGGTTTGGCCATGGTTTATCGTTACGGGCAAATCCATTGTATGGTATCTACCGCAACAGATTCATGGTTTGCTGAATTCAGCCGTGAAAAGTTTATTTATCACCAGGTTCACCAAGTCATCATCTCATGGTCCCCTATTCATGGGTTAAAGGTCATAGTGAACAATTATGTGATCAGCTCTGTGACAAAATCAATTAAACATCAAGCTATAAAATCTTTCACAGAGCACATGTACATTGGAAATACACCAACCATCAAATCGTCCACGTCATGCAATTATTTCATGTCTTCAGTCATTATTTGGCATTGTTGGATAGATAATATTGTTGGAGAAGGGGAGCTAACTACACCAATACCAGGTAAATTTGACGTTCACATGTAGTTTCAAAGTCAATAAACAATAAGCTTTCAATTACATAAAATTATTAGAATAAGAAGGATGCTGAAAAGAAAGTAAATATTTTTAGTATATAATTGCTGATGTTCTATCTGAAACAACTTCATTATTAAACCTTGTATATGTATAAATCAGTTGATATTATTTGAAGATATTTGTTAAGGTAAAGAAAATTGACTCAATACTTTTCAGGTATCAGATGATAATTTTAATGTAGGAACTTTAATTTTGTTAAGATTTAAAAGTTTTTAACATTAATTCTCAAAATTTGATACACATTTTCATTTCCTTGTGGTGAATGTTACTTATATTTATTTTAGGCTATATTGTCATGATTTGTAATTTCATTGAGTATTGCAATATAACAAACCTTTGTATTTTTTACACTTTCCAGAAACCACAAAGGTACCAGTGACAACTCCAGTGAAGACAGCACCACCTACATCACCTGCTCCAGCTCTCACTACACAGTACTGTAAAACAGGATATGTTTGTAAAGGTAGGTAGTATGTTTTTGTAAGATTATAAGTCTTTTATGATTGTTTCATGATTTTAGTTTAAAAACCAAAATGCAGTGATAAGCTCTATTTTTTAAATATAAATGATTTTTATTCCCCATCTACGATAGTAGAGGGGCATTATGTTTTTTGGTCTGTGCATTTGTTCGTTCGTCTGTCCATTTGTCTGTCCGTCCATTTGTCCGTCCATCTGTCTGTCCTGCTTCAGGTTAAAGTTTTTGGTCAAGGAAGTTTTTGATGAAGTTGAAGTCCAATCAACTTGAAACTTAGTACACATGTTCCCTATGATATGATCTTTCTAATTTTAATGCCAAATTAGAGTTTTGACCCCAGATTCACGGTCCACTGAACATAGAAAATGATAGTGTGAGTGGGGCTTCCGTGTACTATGGACTCATTCTTGTTTCTAGAGGTTGTTGATGTGTAGACTGGAGCGATTAACTCACAAACTGAATAAAAGTCCAAAGAAATTTTGTGTTAAGTTTGTGAGTAAGCGTCCCAGTTTACACATCAATAGCCCCTAGAAAAAATGTGTTTTATCCTTATAATTCTTAGCTCAAACATTTGCAATTTCTAATTAACAATTTTGTGTTTATTGGCCACTATTTACCAGCAAATTCACAATTGGCATGTCATAACTAAGGAGTTAGCCACCATATTAAATTTAATCCTTAAATGTTCGATTAATGCAATAGAATCTAAAATGAGATAACACCTACCTCAAAAACTTCATTTTAATTAGATATTTTCTGAATTTGAAGCATACAAGTAACGAAATAGACCTGATAGTTTTCATTCATATGACATCATGTTTTGCCATGACTTTAATGCGCCTAGATCATTCATGAAATTTTGCTGAATTTTATTTTATTTACTGTGACTTGTCTGCAAGTGTTGCTTTCCGCCTATTGCAGTTTATTCGATATTCTGATCCAAATGCAATTTGATTTATCAAACCAAAGTGCTCAACTGGTCAAAATATTTAACCAACTGCTGTTGAAAACCACAATCAAGTCAACAAAGAGCAAGGCGATAAATTAAAGCAAAATTGCAATCCTATATGACTTTACTGTGACTTTTGTTGACTGTAGGTGTTTCTGTTTACCTATACCTATTGTTCAACCAGATTGTAAAACTGACAATACAATTGGAACATTAAAATTGACAAGTTGATAAAGGACAACTCCTATAGTCAACTCATCCTATTTCCACTTAATTACTGTTCTTAAAATTTCTTCACATATTGTCATTGTAAAGAGTCATTTAAAAAGGTATATTTATAGTTGCACAGTGTACTTTGTGTTTTTTGTCTGTCTTTCAATTAAAATTTCTTACCGTTAGAATATTTCTTAATTGATATCTGACAGATGATTTGACAACTAAACCAGCATGGAAGCCAACCAGTCCTAGCAAAAAAACCACTACACTGAAACAGACTCAACCAACCAAGCCACCCACAAAGAAACCAACTTCTCCAAAACCAACTAAAGCCACCACACAAAAACCAACTGCAAGACCAACCACACCAAAACCAACCACTCCAAAACCAACTAAACCAACTACAAGACCAACAACTCCTAAACCTACAACACCAAGACCATCCATACCAAGTTATGTCACCATCCCACACTTGAGACCAGGGGTCAGCAATACAGGAGTAGCCTATTTTAGTTGCCAGTTTGAAAAGTCCAAACAGCCAAATGTGGAGTTTGTAGTTTGTCTCAAGATTAATAGGAATTGGGAAAAACGAGTGTTAGTCAGTGGATCCTACCAGGAAGTAAAATTCACCATTGTAGAAATCAATCAGAATTTATTTAGGAAACAGGTTGGTTTATTCTTCTTCTTCTAAAATCTAAACAGGAATTAAAATACTTAAATTTAGAAATTTAGTTTTTCTGGTACTAATGAAACAGGGACCTTCACTGAGATAGCTGTGTCAGTGGAGTAATTGTTAACAGCGTGTGCAATACTGTTGTTGAATAAAAAAAATAAAATAAATAAATTTAGAAATTATTGGGAGGTTTTTATTAATGGGACTGGGTGAGTATTGCAATAATAAGAACTTGCATTCTGATATCTGATATATATATCTACATATATATGTATACAGATTTTCCTGAACTAGCAATAATTAATCTGGCAATTTGGGCATTTTTCAAAAATTACAATAATAAATGAATGTAATCATTTCTGATTTTACAGTATATGTAACAAAGATATATATGTACAATACATGTATTGTTCAAAGGATTTTGCAAATGTTTGATACAATTCAGCTTCTTTTACAATGTTTTACAGCTAAAAGTAGCTTTAAGTATTTGCAACTTTCTAAAAATTATTTGGTTTTACAAAATGTATAAGCATTGACATCACATATATGTTCAACATCAGAATTGAAAAGAGGTTTTATGATAATGATCATGAAATAAAAGAATAACCATTGACAATGTCAAAAATATGATAAGTTTGAAGATACCAAGGGAGACAATTTGAAAATGTAAATTAAAGGGATAACAATACTTGGAAAAAAAAAATAAAAAAAAATAAAAAATAAAAAAGTGATGCACAAACACAGAATAAGAAAATTGAGGATAGAGTAGCATGAATGATATAACAACTGGTGTTTAATAAGGTGGCATAAGAAATGAAGCATGGATTCATGATGATGTGTACGTAGTATGTCACCAACAAGTAAGTTATAAGGGATGATCTACTGTAAAGCAACTCATTTTTGCGAGCAATTTATTTTTGCTACTTTCAAGAGTAGAAAAATAATGCGAACATGTAATACTTGGGTCTTCCCATGTATAAATACATAAAGAAAATTAGAAAACTGAAAAAAGATGCAAGCATTTCTTGAATTAACTGATTTCAATTGTAATTTTAAAATTAGTGACATAATGTTTATCTTCAAGTTTTTGTGTTCTCCCACAGATAACCTGCACAGTACAGGCCAGATGGAAAGGTGAGAATCTACTCACTCCAATCAAGACAAGTAATATCATAACTCCAGATATAAAGGTAATTATATAATAAATACAATGTTGTCATATACGAAAAAAACTTTTATCAAGACTTTTGCCTAAATCGAATATATTTTTTTTATGTAGTGAAGACTAGAGGAATTAATCCAATTAAGGATCACAGATCACACATCTGCAAGTTTTTTTTTCTCAAACTGAATTCAAAATATATTGTTTACTCTTTAGGTATATTTTATGGTTACAGCCAAGTTGATATTTTGTGGAATATTAGGTTTACTACATATTAAAAAAAACTTATAAACTTAACTTAGTTTGAAAATAATTATAAATATTTAAAATAGGAGATGTGGGTACATGTTACTTACAGACAACAACACAAGCATAACCAAAAGACATATTAAGGTCAACACAAAATTCTTACTTATGAAATTTTTTTCAACTGATGTCATACTCTGAATCACCCCGAGTCTTAGATATGAGTCCTTTCATCACAAATGTATTCATGAGAAAATACTGTCGTAGTAGTTACCAAATTGGTTCTGAAAATCATGAAACCCTAACAACATAATTTCTAAAATGAAAAGTTTTACATGCAAACATATCATTTACATCATGTCAGTAGATAAACACTGACCACTGGGTAAATAGACTGCTTAGGAGTAACAGTCTACCAGCAGTAGTACTAACCTATGGGTGTAATCTAAAAATAAATTCTCAAATTATTTGTTTCAAAATTTTTAGAAAAAAGAAGAAGCAACCATTTAAAAAATTGTTTAAATTGGTTAATTCAGGATTTTTTTTAATTACCTTGAGTAACAAATTATTTCAAATTAAAATAAAACTAGTCTATTTCTCACTCATTACAATCATTGATATAAAATTTTTCAAAATGAACATACTTATCTCACAAATGCATGTATTATGACAAGAAAATTGAACAATGCATGATCATAAATTATGTAACTAAAACTGATGTTTTGACTTGATTCCTATAAAAATTTATTCATTATATAACTCAAGCAACAATTTATTTAAGGTCTATTTACAACTCAAACAAAGACACAAAAACTGATATTAGTTCTAAGGCCAAACATGTGTTAGTATCATAGTACAACGTCAAGCACATAGGATATATAAGTACAAAAGGTTATGATGTAGTTGTACATTAGAAATACCCCACATAAGTGCCATGTGCACCTTAGAAACACAAGTTTTGCAACAAGTTCATTCAAAGTCACCACATTTCTTAATGATTCTTGTTTGTGAGTATTTATTACCAGTAATTTTTGGGGGGAATATCATCACATATTTAATAGTACAGAAGATTTCTTGTCAGTAAAAGTTCTTTTTTTTTGGGGTCTGTATGGCAATTTCTAAACGGGTTAGGAAATGACGGGGACTTTTCAGAAATATTATAATTTTGAAACTTTTGTACTCAATGTAATATTTTTGCTTAACTTGTAGATAGTTACAGGTAATTTAGTGCTAACAGAGGGACACCCAACAGAGCATATTGTTGTTAATGTCACAGCTCCACCTCAACTGTTCTGCTGTCAAGGTTGCCAAGGAAACTGTAAGGTTACCATAACAACTCATGCTAACTTTGAAAGATTTTACCAGAGATGCACTTCCCACAAATACATCCCAGAAGTAGTCATTGGATGGGCGGGGACTTCACAGTCACCAGATCAGCACCAGTGTGGTACCTCCGTTTCCAAGACAATACATATATCATCATGGCAACAAATTATAAAAATTCCAGTAAAAGCAACAGTGGACGGTCGTATTGACAGGAACACACACAATCATTTTACTGTACAGGGCCATGTTGTTAACCAGTTGAAGCCATCGGTCACCATTAAACCACACACACTCAATGTTGGACAAGTTCAGGTAATACCACTGAACTTATGATTACGTTTAAATTTGTCATGATAGATAGATTAATGCTGATAAATAAATTGTACTAATAAGGCATGTGATTGTGTTATAATACTAATAATAAGGCACGCTGTCTTGAAATATGATATTGAAATATGATAATGCACATTAAGTGAAAATTCAATTGAATGCTTTTTTCTTTCTTTTTATAAAAAGAACAAAGTTACCAGATATTCATAAGAACCACAGTTTATCTTTATAGATAATAACCTAAACAGTGTAGATTTGGCCTGGATGAATTTTCAGTCTTCTAATTGTCATGAATAATTATAGGATTGATTAGGCTAATTAACTCACAAACTGAGTTTTATGTTAAATGTGTGTGTCAGTGGCCAGGCCTATTACACGTCGATAACCTGTAGAATAATTTGTAGAAAAAATGTGTTTAATAATAATGAATCTCAACCAGAACATGTGTTATTTTTCTCTCTCAATTTCAACTTTCTAAGAACCTTAGTTTTCCACAGTGAAATCAGCATACTGCTTATATAGGTTACAAAAGTATAGTTTTTGAGTGTAAACCAGGGAAAAAATTCTAAAGGAGCCATCAAACACATTCAAGTATTTGTAGATATACAAATCATATACTAAACAGAGGCTTCATTTATTGAGCACTATACATCCTTCAATTTTATTCAGTTGTGTTCAGCTGTCAATCATTAGAACATGACTGATAGCAATTATTGGTAAGCATGGAATGATAAGATGGCTATGATGCTTACTTATGAAGGACAGTGGTTTCTTTATTTAAAATTCCTTCCTTTTCATATTAACTTTTTATTTCTGTAAGTATTTCATTCTGACATTTTAAGTTTCCTCTGTTTAAGAAATCTAGCAAAATCATGTAGCAGTTATTGCTTTATGATCAATGCTTATTTTGATTTTTTCAGATAACTGCAAATAATAGTGACCACCATGCTCAATGTAAATCTCTCAATGACCCACACATGACAACATTTGATGGAAGGTAAGTTACCATATTAGTTATAATGGTCGGTAAAATATCTAGATGACCTAATAATGACCACATTCAATGGAAGGTAGGTAACCATGGCAATCACAAAGCTGAATGCTCAATATAAATCTCTCAATGACCCACACATGACAACATTTGATGGAAGGTAAGGTACCATGATTGTTATAATGGTCAGTAAAATCTCACGACGACTTAGAAAAGACCACATTTAATGGAAGGTATAATTTATTTTGAAATTTTTTTTTGAAAATGGAAATAAATAAAAATTACCAAGAAGTTATCAGTCTGGAAAACTTTATGCCAAGTGGCATTTATTTTAATACAACATTTTATTTTGCAGACGTTATGACAACCATAATGGAGGTGAATTTACCCTGTACAAACATACTTCCTTGCCTTATGAGGTAAGATATTTATTTTTGCCAGAAAGCTACAATACAAAGCTGAATGATGAAGAACTGCAATAAAAATACTGTTTCCTTGATTCATCGATTTTTATATGACTGCAAAAAATTTGCGTTCGTATATTGCTATCACGTCATCATCGTGGCCGTAGTCGTCGTCGTTGTCGTCCGAAGACATTTGGTTTCCAGACAATAACTGGTGTTGGATAATCGGTTCAAATTACCAACCGGTTATCTATTACTATCGGTTGACAGCAACCAACCGACTATCGGTTATAATCGCATCATTATACCTTGCTCATTTTGTATATGAAATCATGCATTCAGCCACATTGTACAAGTTTAATGCATATATTCCATATCATTGAAGAGTCTTAAATGTTCATGTTTGATCTTTAGTTTCCTTTTCATATTTTATCAAGCAATTAAAACAGTGAATCAATTAGAATATAGATTCAGATTAAACATAATTTGTCTAATGATTGCAACTTTTATTACCAACAATGACACTAAAATTTCTAAATTTCAATGGTATCACTCACATTATAATTTCAAAAACATAACTTCATCAAAATTTGAATGCTTCTAATTAAAAAAAAGATATATATATGTAAAGTATTTAACTTTGAGCAATTTAAAATTAATCAATAAATAAAACAATGCATTTGCATTGAAATATATACATTTAACTAAGGGGATCCAACCAATGTCTGTTAATTCATGTGGAATGCGTATTTTTCACTTTTGTGATCTTTATTCTTATGTCAGCTGTGTCATTCGTGCGTCTGCGTACTTATAATTGTAAGAATAAGGAATTCTTTCATAGTTGGTCCGTATTTGATCCGTGATTCGTATATGTTTTAATGGCGGACAAACCGGGAAAATTTACAAAAATTAACGATGTTTGACAAACAATTTGAAAAGGAATATGACGTTTTTAACGCAACAAATGGATGAAACATAAATAAAAGGCAATTTTCACCACGTTCTAATGTAGCAACAAATTGATTTTATCGAAAAATCAGAATGATTTTAAGTTCGCTTGAGTTGTTTTACAAGTACCGGAAGTGAAAGAAAGTATTTCATAAAAAGTTATTTATTTTAAATAACATATTACCAATCTGCAAAGTCAATGCTTTTACCACGTTTGTACAGAAAGAAATTGCTTATGTCTTTGATTATAGGACGTTTGGCATTGTTATTGTCATCTACTGATATTTTTCTTTACAATTTGTTTGACTGCGCATGTAAAATGCAAACCGGAAACGGACCGGAAGTTGATATGCTAAAAGTCCGGAAACTATAACGACAATCGATTGAACAAAATTCCAATCTATTATCGACATCGCCAAGCCCAACCAACTGATTTCCGAAAGATTCCGATCATCGGAACAACACTGACAATAACTATAGTTTAAGTGTATGGATCTCTTTGAAATTTAACCAAAAGGTTCAATAGCACAAAAGGAGTGTTGGGATTGTTTTTGGGGGTGATAGGAATTAGGGGCCAAAAAGGTGCCCAAAACAAGCATTTGTCTAGTTGCAGGACAATAACTTGTGTATAAGTATTTTGATTGCTCTGAAATTGTACCACAAGGTTCAGTATCACAAGTAGAAGGTTGGGATTTGATTTGGGGGTAATTGCCCAAACCGTTCAGGAATTAGGGGCCAAAAAGGGGCCAAAACAAGCATTTTTCTAGTTTTTCAGATAATAACTTGTGTTTAAGTGTATGTATTGAATATTGTGTTCATTTTTGCCCCTACTGTTCAGGGTTGGACCTCTGCGGTTGTATCCAGCTGTGCTTGGCAAAGCACATTTTTGTTATACTAATTTGATAAACAGAACTTTCTTTTAAGATTTAGATGAAATAAAATCTGTGTTTGCTTGCATGGATTTGTTTCAGGCCAATTTCGTAAGAAAGAGATATGTTATTATTCCTAAATGATCTTAACAATAACATTCTATTTAGGATAGTATTAATGGTGTGTTTGATTTTATGATATTTTTTCTATTATACCTGTATAATTTTCAGGTTAGAGCTTTCTACACAAAATGTTCAAGTAGAGGTCGAGCCTACTGTAACTGTGGAGCAGCCATTAAATCAGGTGATGATGTCATCACGTTCCAAACCTGTCAGAGAAGTGGAAATAATGGTCAAGGACATGGTCATGGAGGTATCCTTGGATTTTTGTTCAACGGACTAACAGGCCATGGCCATGGACACGGACACGGCCATGATCATCACCATCACAGTACACCTGCTAGGATATCTGTCGAACTGTATAAGAATGGTGAACTGACACCTGGTACCCAGATCTTACGTATAGGGTGTGGCCAGAAATACCAGGTCTGTTTAACCCTCTTTTATTTTGATTAGATAAAGAAGTGAAATTATACTTTATAACTATTTTGTTAAAAAGGGAATATTATATCTCAGTTATAGTAGTAGAGCATTAAATTTTTTAATTTTTTAATCTATTGAATTTTCCGTGCTAAGTAAAAAATTTAAGGGCCAATTGAAAAATTTGTTCCAAACTGGATTAAGATTACACAAATTTTGGTGTAATTAGATTTTGATAAACATTTTGAAATCTTATTTATTTCTAGGAGTGCTGTTTTTTTAATCTGTATCTCTTGGTTGTCATTACAGGTGATTTTACCAACAGGAACTGTTATCACCATTCAGTCCAGCGGTACTCAATTCATTAATATTTGGATTAATCCATCCAGTGTTGATAGAGGTCAAACTGAAGGTAAATGTTTAAAAATTTGTCATGTAAATGTCATTTTGGGAATATGAAAATCAATCATTTCTCTGTACCAAGTTTTAATGAGGTTAGCCTTTCCTAATGATATTTACTTGCATAATAAAATTCAAAAATGCTAAAAAGAGTCCAATCAAGATACATATGAACTGAAACTGTTGCATGAAGTGATGAAATATCATTTTGGAAAAAAAATATAAAGTTAGAAATTAGTGAAAAATACATTCAGATATAGAAATGATCTTTGATGAAAAGTTTTAATATTTAATCGGTTACAATGAATATACTAAACATACATTTTAGGATTATGTGGCTCTTATGATGGAAACAGGAACAACGATGTATTCTATCCAAGCAATGGTCGACCAGACAACAATAAAAATCCTACGCGATTCTGTATGAAATGGAAGTAAGTAAAAACATTCATGGCCTAACTCAACGTTATACAGATTTAATTATCCTGTGGGCTTATATTTCATTCCCCTTGTTTGTTGGTTGGTCTGTCTGTTTGTCCATACAAATATTTCCGTCCCTTTTTTGTCAGGTAATAATGAACAGGATTACTTCATCTTTTGTTAGCAGCTTGAGAGTGATGAGTTGTAACATGTGAGCATATTAGGGATCTATCAGACACCTACTTCTGTTTTCAAACACTTTCGATTACAAGTGGGAGCTTGCTAAGCACACTAACAATTGCATTCTTGTTGGAATAAAGATCACCGACACATTTGATTACTGTAACATTTTGATAACATCAGTAAATAATTTAATTTTGGATGTAACGCGTCTTCTGATTGGCTGACGTTGTTTTGTTTATCAGCTCATAGACATTAATTTTGTCATGTGACCGTGACGTCATCAACGTTTTTTCATGGTTTACTCCGGTTTAAAATGGAATTTAGAATTAAATTATAAGAAATGACTGTAATATTTTTTCTGTCTATTCGAAATAACATAAAAAATGTGGTGCATACTTTGAAATAAACTGCTACGCGGGTTATTCAGTGTGCACCACATTTTTGATGTTATTTCTTCATAGACAGAAAAAATATTACAGTCATTCCTTAAATGTATTGAGAATTTCATACTTATTTGGTTTCCAGGAAAAATTGTGTATTGCAGTTCTGTTCGGACATCTTTAAAAATTGTCACATAGTAGATAAAAAATATGAATATATGTTTTTTTTTTTTTTTTATTTCTATCCCTTTGATTTATCATATACATATCATATTTTGGTTACCTAACTTTGATGAATTTTTTTCAGACAACCCGAGACTATATTTTATGGTGTCTCAGCAGAGACATATAACTATATGAATACATTCTGTAGCTGTATACAAAACAAGGAAGTGTTCTGTAACCGTGGACATGGTATCATGACATGTGCTAAATCAAGTATGTACACATTGGATATGTCTGGTTATTTCCTGATTTTTATAGTTATCTCCCCTGATGTTACAGTTGTGGTGGCCATGGTATCATGACATGTGCTAAATCAAGTATGTATACATTGGTTATGTCAGGTGTTACAAGATCATAATAGTTATCTACCCTGATGTTACAGTTGTAGTGGACATAGTATCATGACATGTGCTGAATCAAGTATGTATACATTGGTATTGTCTAGTTGTTACAAGATTATCAGTTATCTCCCCTGATGCTAAAGCTATAGTAGACATGGTATCAGGACATGTGCTAGATCAAGTATGTATACATTGGTTATGTCAGGTGTTGCAAGATTATAATAGTTATATAGCCTGATGCTATAGCTGTAGTAGACATAGTATCATGACATGTGCTAGATCAAGTATGTATACATAGGTATTGTCTAGTTGTTACAAGATTATAATAGTTATCTACCCTGATGCTATAGCTGTAGTAGACATGGTATCATGACATGTGCTTAATCATGTATGTATACATTGGTATTGTCTAGTTGTTACAAGATTATCAGTTATCTCCCCTGATGCTAAAGCTATAGTAGACATGGTATCAGGACATGTGCTAGATCAAGTATGTATACATTGGTTATGTCAGGTGTTGCAAGATTATAATAGTTATATAGCCTGATGCTATAGCTGTAGTAGACATAGTATCATGACATGTGCTAGATCAAGTATGTATACATTGGTTATGTCAGGCGTTACAAGATTATAATAGTTATCTACCCTGATGTTACAGTTGTAGTGGACATAGTATCATGACATGTGCTGAATCAAGTATGTATACATTGGTATTGTCTAGTTGTTACAAGATTATAATAGTTATCTACCCTGATGCTATAGCTGTAGTAGACATGGTATCATGACATGTGCTTGATCATGTATGTATACATTGGTATTGTCTAGTTGTTACAAGATTATCATAGTTATCTCCCCTGATGCTACAGCTATAGTAGACATAGAATCATGACATGTGCTAGGTCAAGTATGTATACATTGGTTATGTCTGGTGGTTTCGTGATTATTATAGTTATCTCCCCTGATGTTACAGCTGTAGTTGACATCATATTATTTGGTAGATAAAGTAGTATTAAATTGTGAATATGATTATAACATGCATTTTAAACAGGAGCTTTATTGTTAAGATTAAAAAATACACATTTTTCAGTAGTTTAATGTTTATGGAATTCAATGATCCTCAAAATTTATTAATGGGACATCCTGTATTGAAACACACTTTATATTTGACAAAAAAAATTGTTGTTTTAGAGATATGGAATCCTATATAAATGTAAAGAGTTTGGGATAATTTAAATAAATTTTGGGGTGCATATTTGATATCAGGTTCCACAAAACATTGTTTGAAAGAACCTAATTGCTTATTGTGGAAAACTGCTCACTCTCAACAAAACAAAATGCCTTTATGACAAGTCTGATCTGTGGTGGCTATTCATTTTTAAATAAAAAAATGCAAATTGGAAATGAAATGGCCTCGTGGAGGTAATATAAGCATAAATATTCATGAACAGTTTGATTACATAAATACCTAGTTGTCTCCCTTTTACTTTCAGTTGTTTACCAAATAAGTTTGATAGAATAATGAACAAAGTATCATCAGACATGGCCTATCCAGTATATTTATTAACACAAGGTCTGAGTATGAACTCTTATTTCTCCCTCCACTTTACACAATAAGTAAACGATGTGTGATCATAATGATATGGTGTTGGTATATGTAAGACAATTCTCAAAAACTGATACTATGAATTTAAGTCTCTAATGAGTCTATACTACCTATAAATGTATACATCCCGCCATATATAGTCTTTTGGACAAAGTATTCATTAAATCTTTATTGTCCCCCGCGAAACGCGTTGCAGGGGACATGGAAATACAGGGCGTCCATCTGTGTGTCCGTCCGTGTGTCTGGCCGTCCGGTCTTGTTAGTGCTCTCACAGGTACAATTCTTGCCAGATTTTTATAAAACTTATACTATAGGTTAATATCAGCAATATCTCGGACAAGTTTTATAATGGTGGCCGATCGACTTTTTTTAAAAGAGTTATACCCCTTGAAAATATTAAATTTATGGAAAATGGCCTTGTTAGCGCTCTCACGGTACAATTCTTGCCAGATTTTTATAAAACTTATACTATAGGTTAATATCAGCAATGTCTTGGACAAGTTTTATAATGGTGGACGATCAAATTTTTTTAAAAGAGTTATGACCCTTGGAAATAATAAATTTATGGAAAATGGCCTCGTTAGCGCTCTCACGGGTACAATTCTTGCCAGATTTTTATCAAACTTATACTTTAGGTTAATATTAGCAATATCTCGGACAAGTTCTATAATGTTGGCTGATCGACTTTTTTAAAAAGAGTTATGCCTTTGGAAATATTAAATTTATGAAAAATGGCCTTGTTAGCGCTCTCACGGGTACAATTCTTGCCAGATTTTTATAAAACTTATACTATAGATTAATATAAGCAATATCTTGGACAAGTTTTATAATGGTGGACATTTGACTAAATTTATGGAAAATGGCCTTGTTAGTGCTCTGATGGGTACAATTTTTTATAAAACTTATATTATACTACAAGTTATGCCCTTGAAGGTCTGTTTGAAATATTTAGTATACAATAAAAAAAAAAAATTTGTCCCCCGGGGACGCTTTTTATTTATGAATTGTTTTAAAGAACAACAAAAAAAAGTGGGGTTTTTTTTTGTTTTTTTTTATTTATTGCCCCTGGATAGATAAAATATGTGCAATGCGGGGGACATTGGAACTCTGTGTCTTTACTATTTATATTACCTTTAAAAAATCAAACCATAACTATTGCTACCCAGTCATTTGGACATTTGACCAATTTTATCATTGTAATAATGGCCGTCGCAAAATAATTGCTGCCCTTTGTGTATGTTTTTCATTGTATTCTATTAAATAAAAGCTGCTTTTTATATCAGGATATGACATAACTGCAACCATTCTAAGACAAGCAAAGATACCAAATATTGGCCACAGACACAGAAGAGATGTAGCTGATGATGATACAGTACCTACTACTACTGTTATACCTGTTCAGGTCTGTATCGAAAATTACACACAAAAAAAATCTTTTTAAGAGTTTTAAAAGTAAATATTTGGTGTTATTATTTCAGTAACTTCAGATTTTAATGTTTTTGTGGATACTTAAGTAACGTCGCAGTACCCAAATTGCACCCATTTTTCAAAAATAGCAGCGGAAATCTTGCAGGTTTTCTAAGACACTAAATAATTTGAATTTTTTATAATTTGCCATTATGCACATCTTTCAACATAGGTAAATATATTTAAATATGCACAAAACTGTCAAATTATATATCAACAGATGAAGTGTTCAGAGAAAAAAGTTAAATTAAAAGGAAACGTTGCATGCAACGTCCACAAAAAGTCAACTTTTAAAAATGAGCAATATATGTCTGAGTCATCTATTTCTTGCAAAATGATTAGTAAACATGAACAAGTGTCAAATTTTCCAAATAAAATGTGGAGAAATAAAACAAAACATCAGTTATTCGATTTTTACAGACGTGAATTCAAGCATTGATGCAATTTAGGTACTCCTCATTACAGAATCTTGGGTCATTTGGAGGTCGGTTCAAACCAATTTTTTCTATGATTCAGTTTGGATTCAAAAGTAATTTTGTGGAACTATATAGTAAGTAAGGATACAACTAAAAAATAAACGCAGAACGGAAACTTTTGTCTGAATCTTAAATAAACGTGGGTGAAAAAAGTGTCAAAGTTGGTGCAATTTGGGTACCCTCTCGTTACAGAGTATATAGTTTATAGTATTACACATATTTTAATATCTGGCTAAAAAAGGAAATTAACTTGTTGTTTATTAGTCTTATTGATTATTTTGTTCTGTGTGTTTTCAACATGGTACATTTTATTTCAATAGTATAGTCGAAGGCCAGACCAAATTAACTTTTGACTATTTAGTTTTGTTGTTTTCACTCCAAAGTTATAGAGGTTCAGATTCTTTTTGTAAAGAAAATTGTTTACAACCTGGAATGCCTTTTCAACTTCCAGCAAGTATGACCTATCCTGTTCAATATAGAAGGATGCATTTTATTCAGAAGATTATGGTACCTAAAGTCCTTCAGGATTCAAAACTTAAATTCCTTATCAAATAATACTGCAATGACTCAGCCAGGCATACTGTTAATTGTAATCTGCAATATATATTCAAGGTACTTTACTGAGGATGGTAAAGGGTTATTTTCATGCAACGTGTTTTTCCATTTTTATTTCACATGCAGCCATGAAAAAGTTTCATTATTCACCGTGTTTCATGAAATTGGTAAAAAGATTAATGTGCAAGAAATTTTTAATTGTTCGTGAAATGGCAATTTTATTTTGCGTTATTCCGTGCAGATACCCCCCCTTTATGCCCCTCTTTACTTTGTAGACAAATACAACAACCATCAATTACACCTCTACTGAAGCTTACAATAGATGCAAAGAACTGGTAGAACAAAACAAAGCAGTACAAACGTGCTGGAGTACTGTTAACAACACTCTCTTCAATACCAGTATGGAAAACTGTGCTGATGATTTAGTGGTAAATATTTCTCTTTATTGTTGAAATCTATTATACAAGTTGTTATAGTATAGTGTTAATATTTTCAGTATTGAATTTCTAAGCATGGAATTAGAGAAATAAAATAAGATATTAGGAATACAGGGTTTAAGATGAATAAAAATAGTTTCATGGTAAACATAAAAAACACAACAACCACATCTACAATGTGTCAAGCCTTTAATCTCTTCAAATGTAGAAAAGTTGTGCAAAAAACTGAACAGAGATGACCTGTATCAAGGATTGGCAATCAACACCAGATTTCCTAAAGGACAAACAAACATTAAGACAAAACTAAAGCCAAGCGCTGACCCTTTCCAATTTTGCCCTTTGTACAATTTTTTTGTAAACAATTCCTGTAGAGTGCTATTTTTTTAAGCTTTGTCAAGAATTTATCATTGTTTTATAGTTCTAAAACTTCTATACAAAGCATACATTGATGGAAATTTTCTTGGATATTTTGCTCATTGTATTTTACTTTAAAGTTAACCATTTTGATAAAGTTTATCAATACTTGTAGGACTCTGGAGATGAAGTCTGGGCCTATGGTTATATCACTGATGTTGTAGAGGAATGTCTAAATACTCTGGCTAACCAGCAACAGATTGTTAATGGCACTGTTATGCAACCAAATGACACTGAAGCTGTTAATATGACAGAACTTTGTCAACAAGACTGTGGACAACATGGAGAATGTATTGAAGGTAAATGTGTCAGCCATGATGGGTGCTTATAGGGATGGGGTAGGGTTGGAGGGGATTAGTTGATTGATTGGTGTATAATGCCACTTTCAGCACTATTGTGCTATTTCTTGGCAGTCAGTTTTTATTGTTGGAGGAAGCCGGAGTGCCGATAGAGAAACACCAACCTTTGCCAGGAAAACTTGACAATCCTAGTCAATTAAAGGGGCACTAGCTGTCAAATTCATGTTCACCGATTTGACTCAAATTCTCATATTTGATTTATAACAATGTAAAACATTTATCCAAACTATTAAAAGTCTAATATAAACAATTAACAGGGCATGGGCATGATAATACTTAGCTTCGTTTCGTGCGTATTTGAGTCTAGACGCCATCTAATTAACTATCGAGTTGACCTCTAAAGTTATCCGATGACCATATAAGCGATGTAAACGTAAATATAGATATAAATAGATTAAGCGAACTCGTGCTATTGGATTTTCCTAGGTCTGTTTAATTTCATATTATAGATTAAAAATATATGTGTATTCTCATTTTTACCTGTATAAGAATGATTTTTTGTTTTTTTGTGGTCGTATATTGGTATGACGTTGGCGTCGTCGTCTTCGTCGTCCGAAGACACATTGGTTTTTGCACTCTAACTTTAGTTTAAGTGAATGGATCTCTATGAAATTTTACCATACGGTTCAATACCACAAAAGGAAGGTTGGGATTGATTTTGGTGGTTATGGTACCAACAGTTAAGGAATTAGGGGCCAAAAAGGGGCCAAAAATAATCATTTTTGTAACTTCCAGACATAACTTGTGTGTTAGTGTATGGATCTCTCTGACATTGTACCACAAGGTTCCATATCACAAAGGGAATGCTGGGATTGATTTTGGGGGTAATTGCCGCAAAATTGTAGGAATTAGGGGCCAAAAAAGGGGCAAAAAACAAGCATTTTTCTAGTTTCATGACAATAACTTGTGTGTAAGTGTGTGGATCTTTGTGAAATTGTACTACAAGGTCCCATATCACAAAGGGAAAGCTGGGATTGAGTTTGGGGGTAATTGCCCAAAACATTTAGGAATAAGGGGCCAAAAAGGGGCCAAAAATAAGCATTTTTCTAGTTTCCAGACAATAACTTGTGTTCAAGTGTATGGATCTCTCTGAAATTGTACTACAAGGTACCATATCACAAAGGGAAGGCTGGGATTGATTTTTTGGGGAAATTGCCTCAAAATGTTAGGAATTAGGGGCCAAAAAGGGGCAAAAAAACAAGCATTTTTCTAGTTTCCAGACAATAACTTGTGTTCAAGTGTATGGATCTCTCTAAAATTGTACTGCAAGTTACCATACCACAAAGGGAAGGCTGGGATTGAGTTTGGGGGTGATGAATCATAAAAAAAATTAAGGGAGTTCAAAAAATTTGGGGGGAGGAATTTTTTTTCCCTTTTTTTTCCTTTTTTTTTCTTTAAAATTTTCCATTTTAAATTGGTTATTTCTGATTTATATATAAAAGCAAATAATAATGATATGGTTTTAATAGGTAAATTAGAAATTTATAAGTTCTTAGACCACATTCATTCTGTGTCAAAAACCTATGCTGTGTCAAATATTTAATCACAATCCAAAGTCAGTTTGTATCAAGCTTGAATGTTGTGTCCATACTTGCCCCAACTGTTCAGGGTTCGACCTCTGCGGTCGTATCAAGCTGTGCCCAGCGGAGCATTTTATTAACTAGTATGAAGTTAGGTTCAAAATCAACGTTCTGAAAACCTGAAGTCAGTTTCTGAGAATAAGCTTTACATTAAGTCTTGCATATTTTGCCAATACTACAGTACTTTGGTCATATGTTGAATTAGTTAACAACCAATTTGTTAGGGGAAGGTGGTTAAGGAATCTGTAATGATCTTAGTGCAACCTGGCTTATAGTATGGTGATTTGATGGTGATGGGTATTTGGGGTGAAAGTTGGTACCTATTTTAATGGAGATTATATTTTTTTGGGGAATAGCATAATAAAAAGAATTTTCAAACTACTGGTATTGGAGTTTACAGAGGACCTGATGAAAACCAAAAAAGGTTTAATACATGGTACCAATAATATTTGAAACTCAGCTTCAGAATTGAAGAAGACATGCATACCAAGTGAACAAAGCCTTCTTAGATACAGGTAGAGTTAAGAGATTGGATATCAAATAATATTTGTCTTATGTGCTATTTTTAATTTCAGGTGTATGTAGATGTGCAGCAGGATACACTGGTCTTAGCTGTGATGTATCAGCAGAAGACACGGTTCCCACCATGATTATACAGCCTACTGGGACAGGAAGTTGTGGATGTGACAGGAGGATCACAGATGATTGTAATACTGTCACAGTTTATGGAGACAATTTTGTGGAGTCAACTACCCTTACATGCCATTATCAGTTTACACAGGTAAGAATTGTACACACTTTATTGTGTATGCAAAGATATATTTTAAAATATGCAATCAGCGACTTTCCCTTTAAAGCATCATACTTATTTTAAGTCAAACCTTTGTTTTCTGTATTTGTTGACCAACTAGCTATTCATTCATTTTAAAAGAGAGGTGAAAGATACCAAAGGGAAATTCACACTCATTAGTCGAAAACAAACTGACATTGCCACAGCAAAAAACAAAAAGATCAAAAGACAAACAATACTGTACAAAACACAACATAGAAAATCAAAGACTGAGCAACACAAACCCCACCAAAAACTAGGGGGATCTCAGGTGCTCTTAAAGGGTAAGCAGATCCTGCTCCACATGTGGCACCTGTCATGTAATTGTATATTAAAACGACTACTAAAACCAAAATACTGTATTTTTAACAGGGACCAGTGTTTGGTAAACCAGCTTCCCTTGGTAGATCTGCACCAGCCCAATTTGTCAGTATCAACCAGGTCACGTGTACTTTACCAGAAGTCAGAGATGGGGTGTACATATCCATCAGTAACAATGGACAGGGATACAGTAGTGACTGGTATCTTCACACTGTGTATGATTCTGTGTGCTTTGACTGTGCACCATCAGGAAAAACCTCACCAGCAATACAATATAAAAGAAAGGTATATTTTCAATGATTTTTTATATCATAACTTGTTATTTGAATAATATTGTTAATGTTTAATTACAAAAGCAGTAAAGAATGGCAAAGTCATGACAAACAAAGCTCTATTATATCTGTATTTGTTTTTTAGCTCACCTGGCCCAAAGGCCCAAGAGAGCTTTTCTCATCACTTGGTGATGAGAAAAGTCCGTCGTCTTTGTCCATTAACTATTACAAAAATCTTCTTCTCTGAAACTACTTGACCAAATTTAACCAAACTTTGCCACAATCATCATTGGGGTATTTAGTTTCAAAAAAATGTGTCTGATGACCCTGCCTGCCAACCAAGATGGCCGTCATGGCTAAAGATAGAACATAGGGGTAAAATGCAAGTTTTGTCTGTTATTTTGAAAACCATTATAAAGAAGATCTGACAAGTCAAAAATGTTTAAAATGTTGAGCTCTACTAATAGTTTGTTGACGTCAAAACTGTCGGGCGACTTTTTATAAGAGTTATTGCCCTTAACCCTTTCACCGATGAATCCCGGTTTACCTGGATTCACGCTTCAGACAGCTGACGATGAGTCCTGGTTTACCGGGATCAGAATACCTCTTTTACATTTCCGACTAAAAACATTAGAAACACAAGTTATCTTTCTTTGTTGAAAACCCGGATGGATGTGTAAACATGGCGCTTCTGTTTGTTGAAAACCGTGTCAAAATCAGATGAAATTTACGGATTTTACTCGAATTTGAAATAAGGAAACATTTTTTTTGAAAGAATATGGAAGAATTGAAGCCAGACTAGTATACTTTTTTGACATAAAATGCCGTTTTATGTACAAAAACATTTGGAATGGACATCGTTCGATGTAAGGAATTAGTACAACCTTGTTGAATTTTTCAAACTTTTGCCGCTTTGGGTTAAAAAATTACGATTTTGGGTCAAAAAGTCGAATTTTGAGAATTTCATCTCTCTAATGCCAAAAATTTGCAAATTTTGATTTTTTATGAAGAATAAATGATCAAAACATTAACAAAACTGTGTCCATGGTGTGAGTGAATAATATAAAGAAATAAATAACTACAGACAAGTTTTTATTGATATTTAATATGAAGATCTCCCACTTCTGTCATAATAGCCAGGGAAGCCATCATCTCAGAGTAGCTTATGTCAGGCCGCTATCGGTGAAAGGGTTAAATGACAAATTTTACCATTTTTAAAAATTTTTGCCTCTTATTGTGAAAACTACAATGGACAGAAAGAAACTTGAAGTTACAAAAATGGTCAGTAAGACAAGATCTAGAAATAAGTTTGCATGGTGGAAATCGTCAGTTGACTCCTTATTGGAGCTATTGCCCTTTGATGACGATTTTTACCATTTTTTTGCATTTTTGTCCAATATCTTAAAAACTATAATAGATAGATAGAAACTTAAATAATCAAAAATGATCAGCAAGACAAGATCTACATTTAAAATTATTATAGAGGAAATTCTCCGACTACTCCTTATTGGAGTTATTGCCCTTTAATGACGATTTTTTACCAATTTTTTGCATTTTGCCTTATATGATAAAAATTATAATAGATAAATAGAAACTTTATACAACAAAAATGATCAGCAATGCAAGATCCACAAACAAGTCAAATTTTGCTGATATAGTAAGTAGACTTTCACTCTTCCTAGGAGTGACTGCCCTTAAATGAGGAATTTTTTTTACCCTCTTTTGTGTGTTTTGAGCAAAAACTCAAGATATAGAGAGAAACTAAACAGAAAAAATGATGATTTAATATGTTGTTACTGACGACAAAATAGAGGTTAAGTTGGATATTGATGATTATTGCTTTTGCTGTTTTGAAGTTGTGGTCCTTGATAGATTATAAAATAGGCACGGAACGTTGTAGATCAAACCTTCATTGATTTAGCTGTGTTTCAGGCATTGTAACCTTATCCTCACTATATAACATGTTATCTGAGAATGTAATTTGAATTCATCCAATCTGAAAGTCAGCGACTCATTTCATAAAGAAATACTTGTAAGTCATGAACATTTCAGTATAACTTATGATCAATTTTTATTATAGGTTTTTTTTGTGAAAAGAGCCCCAGAATCTTAAGTTATATTACCAAACAGTTTGTCAAGATAGACTGACAATTTAGCCAGTAATAGAATAATCATTTTTTTCATTATTTTTGCAGAACAATACTTGTATAATAAATGGCCAATGTTTTGCTTCTAATGACAAGAAATTAGATGATGAATGTAAATCATGTGACCCATCTAATAGTGACAACAAATGGACAGATAGTTCAGGTATGAAACATACAATGTTACTGCTAATAATAATAAATAAGTTTATATCCTTAATTACCTTATCAATATGGTAATTATATATATAATTCATGACAGTAATTAACAAATACACATTTGTTGTGTTTGATGCACATTTAAGGATGTTCGTTACTCTGTTTCAAAGTAACAAGCTTTTTGAAAAACTGTCATAAATTGATAGTTTAATGAAGGAACTAAAAAGGCAGAAAAAAATGAAGGGTCCGTGTGCTTGTTTTCGAGATATAAGCCATTGAAAATTTGGCGGGAAATGATTCTCTCTAGATTTTTCATACATTTAACATTGGCACTCTTTTTCTTTCAAAAACATTGAAAAAATAAGGATTTTATATGATTTTCAAATATGGCTTTTTAAAGTATATGTAATAAAATTATGAAAAGAAAAGTAGGGGTTAGTGGACAAAATTTCTTAATGAAAAAACATGGATAAAACCAGAGGATTTCGAATGTCTGACAAAAAATCAAAAACAAGAGGAGCGAACATCCTTAAGAAGAATTTTTATTGTTTTTTATGCTTGCCTGGTTTTTGCAGGGTTAATTCACTTTATTGAGCACTAAATATCTTAGATAATCTTCATCAATAATACTTTTTATCTTTGAGAATATATATTACAATGTTTCTAGGAAAATGAAATCAACATGTTATTGAATAAAGGAATTGTCCGAGATCAGCTTATATATACAACTTCTTTCTATTGTATTAATTGACAAATAGTTATATTTCTTATCAGATGTTCTCAAAATGAAAAAAATTATTACTAGATGCCTTTATCAATCAATAATCCAAAACTAAGCTGTAAAAGTCCAGTTTGATGTGTTTTCTATCTGATACTTGTTGCAAGTTATGAATATTTGGTCTAACAGATACTGTCATTGCTGTTCTCGTTTTAATTGTATATAATATATAATTGCATAAATTCTTTAGAGAAGTAAATTTGTTGCCAAAAATGACCAAATCCATGTTCAGCATATAATATTTTATTTTTGTACTGGATTATAACACCATAATGTATAGGTACCAGAAATGGTGCATAGCATTTGTCATTCTTGAGTGAATTAGAGGTAAATTTAAACTTAAAGCATATACAAAAATGATTTTATGAAAACAGAAGAAAAGAAAACAGTCACCTCATCTCATTCACTTCAAAGTAAGAACTGATATACAGTAACTGATGTACTATTGAATCAGTATCATTTCAAATTCAACCAAGATGGTGTTTGTTTTGACTGTGAGCCCTGTTTCTGGTACCAGCAGTGTCAAACAATTGAAGTTTGTGTGATTAAGTTTCACAGGTGAGACATTTGTTTGTGTTAACAGTTTATTACTGTGGATTCATTTATTTTCGTTGGTACCAATTTTCATGGATTGAGGAAAATTTGCATTTTTCATGGATATTTAATTTCATGGTTTTGCAAAGGTCTACATACAAGCCTACAGAAAATTTGTAATTCATTGAATTTTTAATTCTTGGTTCACCTGTACCCACGAAATCCACGAAAATTGGTGTACAACGAATAATAATGAATCCACAGTACTTAAAATAGTTAAGGTTAATATTTATCAGTCCAATTATTTTTTTCTACAGATAAATCCTGTAAATGTAACAGTGAAACCGAAGTATCTAAAGTTGGAGCTGAGGAAGATAGTGTATATAATAAGCAGACAGTGACTATCCTGGCTGTTGTTATAGGAATCCTGTGCTTTATAACAATGGTATCACTTTTCTACAATTGTAAACTCAGGTAAGAAGACATAACATTAAATCTTCATGGACTTACAGGTACATGGACTGAAAGGGCAAACAAAATATCCCAATGTGCTGAAAAGACCCACGAAGTATCTGCACAGACTGAAAGGACAGACAAAATATCTACATAGACTGAAAGGACAGACAAAATGTCTACATAGACTGAAAGGACAGACAAAATGTTTACATATATTGAGGAACACAAATTATCGTCTAATATAAATTGAATGTTCTGGAAAATTCGGGTTCATCAAATTTTAGGGAGTTTGGTGTTTTATACTCTCCGAGAGTGAAGGATCACTAAGCACACAAAATCCATAATGAAAAGAAAGAAAAAAAAACACACACAAGGACTTGAAGGTACAACACAATTATACATAATTTTGGAATAAAGTGGATGTTTCTTATTCATGTATGATTCAGCATTCAAATGCACAATAAAAGCAAACTAAAAGACATTGAAATGGCAGCATGTAGTTATCAACAATGCATTAGTACATTTAATGTCTTAAGTATTTGTTGAAAGAAAAAAGAATTTTATTTCAGCAACATATGATAGTTTGGAGTGGGGGAGCAATACAAATTGTGAGAAGTTCTTTTGTATTAATTGAGACCAGAATTATTTCAATTCTTTTAGGGGAAGTCAGTTGAACTGTTATCATTCTTATATTCATGTTTTGTTTTAGCCCTAGCCCACAACCTCTCCCCTTTGTTTGGATGTCTACATTTAATTCATACTATGTCTTTTTCGTTAGCTTCATAGAAAACGGCAGTGTTTTAGATATTATAATTTTTTTTCAGGTCCAAAAGGTCACTATACCGTAAAGAGGAGTCTGCCAGTGATGATTCTTTCAGCCATCCACAGAAGAAGAATTATGAAAATCCTGGATATATGCAGGAACAATCAGGAAATGTTAAAATGTAACATGAGTTTTAGGTCAATCCAGGGATGTGGTCCATTATCATGTACAAAAATTTAAAAGTATATATTTGATATAATGTGATTTAGTATATTTTTGTAAAAACTAAATTTTCTTTGCAACTCAATTTTCAATGATTTTATAACAAATGTGCCAAATTAAAAACTTGTGGTCTATTGACCAAATTCAATTTTTTGTATTTTTATACTTTGTAATAGAGACATTTTGAACAATGCTTAACTTATTTTTAGCTTTTTCAAGCATTACATATTAAGGATTCTAGAACATTTTGTCTCTTAAAAGTTTGATATAAGGTGCTGTTATATTCCTTCTCAACAAGAAACAAAAATTATAGACATGATAGAGACAAGATGTTTTTACTATGATTTCTATTTTTGACTTTGTATGTCATTTGAAATGAAGTTTACCTCATGTATGTCTAGATTTCACAAATGTCAAATGGAGTCTTCTAAATAAATTGTATGTGCAATAAATCATATTGTTTTGAAAATGAATTTGATCTGCCAACTTATGTATAGAATAAATATAAAATAACAATGCAAACTTTTTATAAATCAAAATTTATGAAAACTGGATGAATAACTTTGTTTCTGATGGTTACAAGAGTGCATTTATTTGTAATGCATTTTCAATAGGGTACCAGTGGTGTTTTATATTTTATTTCTTTAAGAATAAACTAACCAAAAAAAGTAGTAGTTCCTGGTACTAGAAATGTCAGTGTTGTATTACAGCCAAAAAATACATGATCATGTTGCAGAAATTTACCTATAACGTCTTTTTTTTGCACTTAATAGGAAAGACAAAATTTTAATAGCCCCTCTGTAGATACATTGAATATATTGTTTACACTTTGATAAATATGAATTTAATTTTCTGATTTTTTAAGACCTAAATGGATAAACTTTCAATTGAAAATAACCCCAATACGAGTATCATCCAATCAGGAGTCACACAAGATTTTTTTCTGTCAGAGTAACAATTGGGGGTAAAAATTACTGGTAAAATGTAAAATGATAATTGCATTGTTGTAACCTGATCTACAGTACTTCATCAGAAAAGTATATTCATATATTTATAGATGTACAACCTTCTTAAAGAAGAATTTGTCAGATGCGTCTTATATTAGTGAGAAATAAATTAAAGTAAAAATAACTTTGGAGAGGTAAATGTGTATAATACCAGAATGTATACAGGAGATTACATATATGATTATAAGTATTTTAAGACATTGTGATGTATTTTTAGAAAATATTTAATTTTTTTATATTTAAACAATAAAAATCTTTCTGATTGTAAGTCCTTTGTTAAATATCTGTTATGATAATACACACAAAAAATGGCACAATAAACTATTATTTTCATTATATATGTTTGTTTGTTTTTGTTTTTTTTTAGATTAGATGTGATTTGTATAATTTACTTGTCAGAAAAAACTGTGGAAACCAATTATTGCTGAGCAAGTTGGATGTTACATTCATGGTTTGAAAAAAAATATTTGGAATATTTTAAAGGAGATATGGAGTAAAAAGTAGAATAACAAAAATAATACCGAATTCCAAGGAAAATTCAAAACGGAAAGTCCTTTATTAGATGGCAAAACCAAAAGCTCAAACTCATCAAAACGAATGGAAAACAACTGTCATATTCCTGACTTGGTACAGGCACTTCCTTACGTAGAAAATGATGATAGTAAACGCATACACAAAAAGTCAAAACAACATCTAGAGGACAACACACTTTCTTTAACCAATATTTAATAAAATGTAGGTGCAAGAGCTGATTTTGGAAGACTTACTCTGGAAATGGAAGATTGACTTTCAATCTATATTGAATAATTAGATAATATTCTGATGACATTAACACTCTTGTGAAAGAATCCTTTGTTTTGTTTCAAACCTTGACTCTTTGGGAATTTATTTCTTGGTTTTCATATGTAAAACATGTGTTAAAAGAAACGGGTTTGGAATTTATACACATTGAAGAAATATTCATCACATAAGATAACTAAAACTATAAGAGAACAAATAAAATTAAAATTGAAGCATTTTTATGACCTTTATCTTTTGCCACATTGTTAGCCTCTCCTAGATGCATCTTTTCACTGAACTATTTCTCTGTATATGTATTTTTAGAAGTTCTGAGAGCCTGCTTTACATGTCCAAGCAAAAATGTATGCTGGGTTACTCAAGCTAAAAATCTCAAATTATTTTTAAAAATACTTGTATACCTGCCTCTTTCTGATTATCATGACTTTCAATCTGGCTTTTCATCTATAGTTCCTTTAGGAATTTTTTCTAACTCTATTTCTTTCATAATATTTATGTGCTTAATTAGTCTTGAATTCTTATTGTTGATAAACATCTGACCTAGGGTACTTTAACAAATGAGTTTTAGTACATAGTCCCAGCATCTGGAAAATACAAATAAATACATATTACCATCATCCTAAGTTTCCAGTTTATTTGTTTTATTATTTTAATTCAGTTTCTTTCTATAATTTTTAGTATCACTGATATTTGCTATTTGTTTTGCTTTCTTTCTATGGCGTATGTGTTTGATGTTTTTTATGGGGGGGGGTGTCAATCAATACAATTAAACCCCTATATTTTTCATTTTACATCTTTTATTTACTTATCTTTATTTGGACACATATAGAATCTTTCCATTTACGGTAAATGAAAATTGACTGATTAAAAAAAAATCTTTTACAGTTTTCTATATGTAAAATTGAGTTGTCTCCCATTGATCAATGGAACAGTTTTGATAAAGATAGTAAGGGGGATTCCCACACATATACATTTGTTTTGGAATGAACCAATGTACAGAAACTGCAATATATTCGTTTGATCATCAATGTTCTTAATGTGGTAGGTATTTTGAACAATTGTTATTTTGTTTAATTTCCAATTGGCAACTATTAATTTTTTGCTTCCATGAAAGACATATGTAATCACCCCCATTTTTTGCTTGGGTTCGTTAATTCGTGTTGCTCAGTCTTTAGTTTTCTATGTTGTGTTTTGTGTACTGTTTGTCTGTTTGTCTTTTTCTTTTTTAGCCATGGCGTTGTCATTTGTTTCGACTTGTGAGTTTGAATGTCCTTCCATGTACAACAGTTAACTTATGTTTGGAAACCACAGTCACGAATCCCAATTCAAACCAATACAAAATTACAGCTATCATCTCGGATATTGCAAGTCACAGACTTTTCAAACCAGTTCGCATTGGAAAAGATGAAAAGGAGAAAAGATCCTTTCTTAAACTTTTCTTTGCCAACATCCTTCATCATGTTCATCATAAATCTGTTCACTGGAAAATACCTCCCTATTTTAAAAATCAGTCTGTACCTATCATTTCCTATACATATACAAAACTAAAATATCATGAGCCTATATCCATCAATTGGAAACACAACTTCAAAATACTGATGTATTCAGTCGAGGATTATGCCAGGCAATAGGTTAAACGCGAGAAAGAAGACGTAGATACTCTTTCCGAATGGATTAAGGCTGTGAGGTCGTTGATACAAATCAGAATTAAAAAACTGAATGGGTCTATGAATACCCATGCTACACCAATCTTTAAAGACCCAAATGTTGCAAAACACTTGTCCTACCTCCATGACAAATATCTTGTTCTCCCCGCAGATAAAGCCCCAAACAACATCGTTTTTGTGTGTAAATCACATTACATCAACTGCTTGATAAATGAATTTAATTTAGGTATTGACAATTCACTTGGAAACTCAACATATACCCCCACGACACTTACCAAAGAGGATATCCTGGATAATCATAGGTCTGTTCTACGTTCCTTTAGAATTCAACCAAAGATGAAGAACTGGATCTTCCTTCACTGTATTGGATACATAAACTACATATTAAGTGTTATATTGGCTGGGTCTTCCAAGTGCTCCACGAAATCTCTTTCTAAATTATTAACATCAATTGTATCAGCAATCAAAGCCGGGCTTCAAAGTTATTGTGAAACTACCTATTCTAGAGGTGGCGTGAATCAGATGTGGATACTAAAAAAATTCCAAAGATATTTAGAGTACATACAATCTAAGACTATTTCATTTGCAATAGTATTAAAACATTTGACTTTTCTACACTTTACACAAGTATTCCCCATCCCAAACCAAAAGACAAATTGAAAGAGTTGGTCCTGCTTTGTTTCATAAAAAAGAATGACCAGTGTAGATACAAGTATCTTGTCTTAAGGAGGGATAAATCGTACTTTGTGAAAAATCACTCTGATTCAAACAAAAAATTCTCTGCATTATCAAGATGCTTGATTTCTTGATTAAACAATCGGCAATTCCATGGGAACCAACTGTGCTCCTCTTGCCGACTTGTTCCTTTATTCATATCTGACTTCATACAGGAACTTCTTAGGAAGAAAGAAAAGAAGTTAGCAGTATCATTTAAATTTAATTTCCGCTATATAGATGATGTTCTCTCACTAAATAATTCAAAATTTGGTGACTATGTTGAACGCATCTATCCCATCGAACTTGAGATAAAGGATACAACAGATACAGTTAAGTCTGTCTAATATCTTGACTTGCATCTAGAAATTGACAATGAGGGTCGGTTGAAAACAAAACTTTACGACAAAAGAGATGATTTCAGCTTCCCAATTGTGAACTTTCCATTTCTATGTAGCAACATTCCCGCAGCGCCTGCATACAGAGTATATATCTCTCACTTGATACGATATTCCAGGGCTTGTATTTCCTATCATGATTTCCTTGATAGAGGGTTGCTGTTCACAAGGAAGCTATTAAACCAAGAGTTCCAAGTGGTGAAGTTGAAGTCATCCCTTCGTAAATTTTACGGACGCCATCACGAGTTGGTTGACCGTTATGGAATATCCGTTGCACGGATGATAGCGGATATGTTCCAATTGTCGAAACTACAATCCCGTTCCTTTTCCCCCGAATAGGACCTACCGAATTAGACTTATTATCGATCGGGTTTGTACTAACATGAGCAACACGACGGGTGCCACATGTGGAGCAGGATCTGCTTACATTACCGGAGCACCTGAGATCACCCCTAGTTATGTTTTAAAGGGGTTCGTGTTGTTCTTTGTGCTTTTGTTTTAATTTTTCAGTGTTTGTGTTGTTGATACCAGTAACAGTCTCGTCCATCCTTTGTCATGAAAATCGTGTTTCAATTTTAAGATTTCACATTCGGTCAAGTTTCAGGGTTCTAAAATTTTACATGACCGATGCTCTAGAATTTGGTGATGTCTAAGGGTTAGATAAGAGTCAATTATCTATCTGCTATTGCCTGATGTCTTATTATTTGATTGAACATATCAACGTATTTCATAAGAGTAACACGACGGGTGTCACATGTGGAGCAGTATCTACTTGCCCTCCCGGAGCACATGAGATCACCCCCAATTTTTTGGTGGGGTTCATGTTACTCAGTCTTTAGTTTTCTATGTTGTGTTTTTTGTACTGTTGTTTTCAATGTTGTGTTTTTTGTACTGTTGTTTTCTGTTTGTCTTTTTATTTTTTAACCACGGTGTTGTCAGTTTTTTTCCGACTTATGCGTTTGAATGTCCCTTTGGTATCTTTCGCCTCTCTTTTGTAATAGATGTGAAATGAAAGTACATTGCTTTACTTGATTCCTTTGAAAGTAAGGTGATGATCATACGAATTTCTACGGCGAGTGTATTTATTTTTAGCTCAACTGGTCAGAAGGGTCAATTGGGCCAATTGGAACCATACTTGGCCACAATCATTATTGGGGTTTGAAAAAAAAGTGTCCGATGACCCTGCCTGCCGACCAAAATGACAAAAATGACCGACATGACTAATATAGAACTTAGGGGTAAAATGCAATTCTTGGATTTTATCTTGAAAATCGCTAGAATGTTCAGAATGATCAGATCAACCTAATGTCTATTGACATCGAAACTGTCAGACGACTTCTTATAGAAGTTATTGCCCTTAATTGGTGAATTTTACAATTTTTTTTCATTTTTGCCCGTTATCTCGAAATTATAATAGATAGACTATTTAGAAACTTTTAATAGTAAAAATGAACAGCAAGACAAGATCTAGAAATATGTCAAATGATCGAAATTATCAGTCGACACCTTATTGAAGTTACTGCCCGACGATTTTTCCCATTTTATTTTTGTATTTTTGCCTTTTATCTTGAAAACTTTAATAGATAGATAGAAATTTAAATACCAAAAATGACCAACAAGACAAGATCTACTAATAAGTAAGTCCTTATTGAAGTTATTGCCCTTTAGTAATAATATTCCCCAATTTTTCATTTTTGCCTATTATCTTGAAAACTATAATAGAAAGATAAATAGAAACTTTAAATAGCAAAAATGATCAACAAGACAAGATCTACAAATAAGCCACATGGCTGAAATCTTCAGTCGACTCGTTATTTAAGTTATTGCCCTTTAAATGAAATTTAAAATTTTTTTTTGTGTTTTTTGCCTCTTGAAAACTATAATAGATAGACAGAAACTTTAAAAAAGAAAAATAATAACATAGATAACATGGATAAGATTTACAAATATGTAACATGACTGACATTGTCAGTTAACTTTTATCGGAGTTGTTCAAGGCCAGAATATTCATTACCAAAATCCTCCTGCCTACCACCCCCCACACGCCTTGAAAATAAAATGTTAGTTCCTTTAATATATAATATTGTCGGGTCTACATACAAATGCCCTCAACTTGAAAATAAGCCCAATTGAAAGAGGACTATGAAAAGACACCATAACATTATTTGATTCTCCCTCAATGATCACATGATGTTATCTACTACTCGTACATTGTTAAATAATTAAATTGTTACAGTAAGCGCATGCTAATCATATCCATCAAGAAGTGATACTATATATGAACTACACGTTAAGCTGCCAAAAAAGGACTGCCAAGACAATAAGCTAAATTACATATACATTTGTACATCTTTAATTAAAGTTGATAAGGGACTTTTAACAAAACTTGATGTAAAACATGCCATCTTTTGAACTCATAACAGTTATACATATAATATATATATATTTCTCTAATTATTTGGCAAATTCACCCTTTCTGGACTGTTTGTTTAAAAAAAACTCAATGAACATGTGGTTGCAGATGATCTCAGAAGATGATTGGCTAAGTTAAAAGGTCATAACCTTTATCTGTCTGAATGAATCGAAATGTGCTAGAGAAATACAACTGATGTAGACATCAGGAATGTGGAAGGCACTCCAAAGGGACGTTCTTTTATCAAAAATGAAAATTTATTTGAAAATCATTAGAGAAACAGATTCTTATATAGACTGCCCCAAATGGCTTGCAAAAATACATGTACAATATATACACATTGATCTGTGTGGATGGATGGACAAGAGTATGGGTATAATATAATAAATTAATAGTAGTATTTCAATGAAAATTCCAGAGTATTAATAAAAAGTCGATCATTAAGGTAATCATAACTCATTTCAATTACTTTAATACTGATATTAAAGATATTACATGTTAAGCAATTAAACCAATAACTAATCAATCACACGATATTCTTTTCAACTAGAAACTATTTTACCATGTTGACTATCATTTAACAATTATGACTACTAGTTTTCGGCTTATCCTGATGGTTATAGAAATATCTGTTTGTTTTTGGGATCAAATTTACTACATCCGATAATTTAATTTTGATAACTGGACATCTATTTTTATATTTATTATAGTATGGTATCATGTATATATATATATTTAAATTTTAGAATGATGGACAGAGAAGACCGTAGACGTTTCTTTGTAATTGGGTCGGTGTTTCTAGAAGTTGTTACTCCTGTGTTTAGACGTCAACTAGAGAACAACTATACTAAAGTTGGATATAGATGTCTGCAAGATTTCCTAAACAACCAACCAGTAGTTCACACCTTGTTCCATTTAAATCACAGATATACATGGTACTGCTGTGTAGATAGCCAAAACTGTATTGGCAGACAAAAACTTCCTCTAAATAACTACCAATGGGACCTGTTGTATACAGAGAATCCTGGACCTGGTAAACACCACTGTCACTGTAAATATACAGCTAAACCTGTCCTACTCGATGACCTTGATATCACCTTGATGGGACTTGTCCTTGTCAACTGCTTCACTCTTGGTCCAGCTGAAGCGCAGGCAGTCAGGTCTCTCAGGCATTACAAGAATGATTACCTTAGCCATAACACAAATAGTGGTATACCTGAGCCAAAGTACAATTCACTGTGGCCAGATCTTACATATCATGTCCTTCAGCTTGACCCCACCAGACAGAGTGACCTTGATGAAATGAAGAACAGACCTCTTGATGAACAACTTTGTAAACAATACTACATACACCTTTTAGATCTCAATAAGAGATTTGAAGAGGTACTTAAAAATCATGTAATAGTGAATCAATAAGATATTTTGACTTAAGCGCAAGGGGTGCTTACTGAATATACTTGTAATGCCTTACACTGGTTTTGAAGGTACAGTTTATGGTTAAGTCCAGTTTTTTTGGTCCAGTGAATAGCATCAGAGACATCTCTGAAGGCATCTACCTACAATTTCACTGATATAAGTTCACGATTCAACATTTATCAAGACAGTTAGTCTAGGTATAAGTTTTACTGACAGCTGTTCCATAAACATAACACATACAAAAACATGATACAATGCAAAGTCTAAAGAAGTCTTTTCTAAAATCTCAACATAATAAATGCATATAAAATGCATAATGTCTGTTTGTTGTTCACTACAAATATAAAAATAAGGAGATGTGCTATGATTGACAATGAGACATCTATCCACCAAAATTCAAATGAAGTGGATGTAAGCAATTATAGGCAACCATGCGGCTTTCAACAATGAGAAAAACCCATACTGTATAGTCGGATTATTAAATATGTTTACTTTCCTTACGTAGATTGATCAATTGATCGATTGTTGTTTGCTCAACGACCAGTAGCAAATTTTTCATGCATATTCTTGGCGATTCATATGTTACACATATATGCTTATAAACAGATTGTCCCTAAACCAAAATTAAGCAAAATAATTGAAATTTGTAATGATTATAAGCAAATAATTTTCAGCGATTGTGGGTGATCACGAATATAACTATGTCTTTACTACCTTTAGATTGGAGTTTACCTCAAAGAGACGAATACTTCTGTACAAGGGATAAGAAAGGATGTCCACGGGATAAGTACATCCTAACAAAGTATTGGATGGAATGTTCGTGGCATAGGTGGATCAGTACAAGCGGTAAACACAACCCTACAAGGCATAGAAAGAGCAGTGCAAGGAGGAAACACTACCTTACAAGGCATAGATGGATCAGTACAAGGGATGAACACTTCCCTACAAGAAATAAACTCATTTATCCAGACAGCTGTACAAGGAATACCTCTGATAGATGATGCATTACAGGTAATATTTATACATAGTAATATAAACATTAAATGAAAATTTTTACTAATCACTAGATGTTGGAGATGTATAGCGATGCTTTCCCTGACCTATAAGATCGATAACCTCCTTCCATTAGCAGCGCTAGCAGACTAACCCTTTAGAGCAGTTTGAAGAGCTATGGCTTTATGTGACAGGGGTGTCATGTTCAAAACCTGGCAGCTACAGTTGTAAATTTTGGGAGAAAAATCATACTATACTGTAAAACCTCATGAGCACCAGTCTCTTTTTAGCTCATTCGGCCTAAAGATGTAAGCTTTTCTCATTACTAGCGTCCGTCATCATCGTCGCCTGATAATGTTTTCAAAAATCTCCCCCCTGTGCAAATTGGAACCAAAATGGACCACAATTATCCTTTGAGTATATAGTTTTAAAATGTGCCCAATGATCCTGATTGCCATCCAACATGGCTGCCAGGGCTAAAATAGAACATGCGGGTAAAAGGAAAGTATTGTTCATTATTTTTAAAAATGTTATAGATCTGACAGTTTCAGAAATGTTCAGAATAACAAGATCCTCTACCACTCATTTAGACCAACACAGTCTTTTATAGGATCATCGGCCTTAATTGCTGATTTTTACATTTTTTACCCAAGTTTGGCTATTATCTTTACAACTATATAATAAGCTAACTTCATACATAGATAAAGTGAAATTATAAATGGCAGAATTGATCAGCAGGACAAGTTCTTCAAAAATTGCTTGTCAACTCCTATTATATAAGTCATTGCCCTTGAAACACTAATTGTACACAATTTTTTGGGACTTAGAAGATGCAGAGAAATTGAAGACACATTAAAAAACGATCAGCTTGACAAATCTACAACAAACAAGCCAACTCATTATGGCGTTGTTGCCCTTGAAAGATATTGTTTACCAATTGATAAAGATACTATAATAGTAAACACATATAAAAATTAAACAAAAAAAAAAAAAACAAAAAACAGTTCAGAAGGACAAGATCTATGTCAACATGACAAAAATTGTCATTCGACTCCATATAGGAGTTATTGTCCTTGGAATACTATTTTTTCTGCAAACACCATTCTAGATGAAAAAAAAGAGTAAACAGCAAAAATGATCAGAAGGATAAGATCGACAAATAGGTCAAATAATGGCAGAACGGTTAGTGGACTCCTCATAATATAGTTATATCCCTCTAAGACGATATTTTACCCATTTTTTTCTCGAAAGTTTTGTAGCATAAATAATCAATAAGACATAAACTGCATATAAATCAACACAACATAGCTTGTATTCTCTGTTGACTTTATTTTGGAGTAATTTCCCTTGAATAACAATTTTGAAACAATTTTTTGCATTTTTGCTAGTACCTTTTTGAAATATTCTCGTTACATTGTATCAGTTTTATGAAAATTTACCAAGTAAGCAATGCAGGCTCTTTAGAGCCTCTAGTTTAAAAGTAACATTAATTGATGCCTTTTTATATTTTGCATTGTTCTGGTGTGATCTCATTGATGTATACCCCACACAAATCTTACGAACCATCTGTTTACTTGTATGAAAACAAGGAAATGTGGTATGATTGCCAATGAGACAACTATCCACCAAAGTTCAAATGAATTGGATGTAAGCAATTATAGACAACCGTACGACCTTCAACAAGAGAAAAACCCATACCGTAAAGTCGGCAATTAAAGGCCCAGACATGAAAAATATGAAACAATTCAATTGAGAAAACTATCTTGTGTCTGTATCATTTGTTCCAAACAGTCTGTATGATTCCTTTTTATTCACATCTTGATTTAAATTTCTAGAAATAACCAGAATTTTGTTTATCATTTGCAGTCGAATTGGATAAGTATAGTGATTCAATGTTGTATTTTTCATATTTTTAATCTAAAAAATAACATGATTGTTTGTAAAAAGTTATGTGATGATGTTTTTCATTAAATATATGCAAAAATCGTCCTATGTATCTTCAACATATTAAGATCCAAGATAACAAGTATTTGCTGAATGAGGTTTTGAGTTCCATGACCAAAATCATTGTTATTCCCTTTCTGTTTCGTTTTATTAAATACGCATACAGAGACTTAGGATACACAATGTACCATCGTATTGATGGATGGTCCATAGTATACTATTGTCATCAAGGGATATCTTGTAACATTTCATTTCCCAAACATAACTTCGATTTTGGTGTTGAAAATTGCACATACTATCTAGTTTTGCTAGTATCAGTATTTCAATTGTCATATTAAATGGCTTTGTCTAATTTCGGATTTCCAAAAGGAAATTAATTGAAATTCTATTCACAACCTTAAATAAATAGTATTAACATAGGAAAATATATTTCATCATTAACTATGGTCATTTAACTGAACCAATGAACAGCCTATGAGAAGAAATGAGAATACAAATGCAAACATTCCTTCTTTGTGCTATACAACAGCTATGCATGATCGTATCCAGTTTTCAATCAAAATGATACAGGTCGGTTTTACCGTGTTCCACCTCTCATTTATTCACAGTATCAAGTGTCAACGTTACTTGATAATTTAATAACTTAAAAAGCAATTTGAGAAAAGAATTATAACTTTCAACTCTTATTGTAAATTTTTTGACTTTATTTTAGAAACTCCTCTACTATGCTGAAAAAGGAGCAACCTGTACATGCAAAGGACAAAATCCTGATACCAATGGTAAGTGTGGTATCACACATAGTATGTCTATCATTTCTAGTTGTTATCAAATACCAATATGTTGATTACTAATTGATTCTAAAATTTAGAAGTTCACATCTTTTTTTTATGGACACAGTTTATTTTTTAATGGTACTGACTATATATATTAACATGATTAAAATATCAATATTGAGTCAAACGTTGTTTATTTCTATTTCGTAAATATTCTCACTGAAACATTTGTTTACTATAGCTATTTAAAGTATGATAATGCAACGGTCAGTTTTACTTAGTGCATGTAGTAACATGTCATATATAATATTGCTCTTCAATCCATTGATGAAGTCCTATCATCTCAAACACATTTTATATATTTAGAACAACTCAATTGACTTATAAACAACAAAAAGTTATGAATGTATTGATTTATATCCTAATTGTCAAGATTTTGAACAAATGATGTTGTTTTATGTTTATAGGATAAGAAAGAAAATACTTCAAATATAATAGGCACATACATCTTCTATCATATAGATCATATTTGAAAAATACATGTTGTAAAATCAATATTGATCAGTCCCTTCTTTATAACAAAGCAGTGGTAAGAGATAATGTAAATTTAGACTATACTAGTATTAGAGATTTATAATACAGATTGTTTATACGTTAGCTACTGTATAATTTGTATCTACTTCTGTGATAATTGAAATGTTTTCATTTATTTCATTGTATAGGACAAGAAAGAAAATCCTACAATCTAGGACAAGATGTATTCTATCAATATCTTCAATTTACTACAGCACCTTTAAGCGATTCTTCCCCTGGTGACATTGTTGTGATAACAGATGATGGACATGTGGCCTGTTTAAATCATGTTAATGCTTCAATGAAGATTTATGATACAGATGGTTCACATGTTGGTACAATACCACTAGAGAGGGAGTCATGGGATATGACTGTTGTCAACAACTCTGCAGTAGCTGTTACACTGCCTGACTTTTGCTGTATAGACATATTTGATATACACAATGAACAGATAGTGAAATCAATACAATTAACAACAATGTGCTTTGGCATTACAACTTTAAAGAACACTTTAGTAGTAGGCTGTGATAGAAGAACGTTGATAATTGATCCTCAGACAACGAAGGTAGAGAACACCATTGATACTGGTGATTATAGTCCTACCAGACTGTGTTGTTTTAATGGTGATATATTTTACACAGTTGGTACTCAATGTCACGACCTGTTCCATTACAGTCACTTTAATAAGAATATTTCCAAAGTACAGTTACCATCAAGATCATTGAGTATGACCACACTACAAGATGGCAGTGTTTATGTGATATGTGACGATAGTTCAGTACAACATGTGTCATCTGATGGAAAGAAATATAAAAGAGTTACTACAAAGGGACTTAGATCACTGGGATCGACAGGTGGAATAAATTATAATCCTGAACAAAAGAAACTGGTCGTTACTGGAGACTCAATTACAGTGTTTAATGAATACTAGTTGGGCCTGTGTGCATAAAACAAAAGCCCTACTAATTAAGCGCTGATTGGTTAATTCAAAGTTAGCTATGAATCTCATTGGTTAATTAGTATGATCTCGAAAAACAATTAGTAAACGAGAAGCACATGCGGCAGTGACTGGGAAACCCCATTGCTGATTGGTTAAAAACCTAGACATGCGAGTAACTACTGACCAGCATTCCAAAACGTATTATGTATTAATACTCTATTTAAATAAAATAGTTCCATTAATTCATAACACTGTCCCACCCAGATCCTCCCTTATTATGCTATTGAATGTCAGGTGTACCAATAACCAATTTGCTATATCTTTGGTGCCCTGACCGAATGCTGAAGAGTTACAGTGCAGATAAAGGCACCTGATTTACACTTAACAGAGTTCAGTAAAGGGACCAAGAAACGCCAGCTGGTTATAGTACGTATAAAGGAATAAAGTAAACAGACACAGGTTCGGGAGAAAGAATCACAGTTTAATATTTTCTTTGCATATCAATAAAGCAATAAACATATTTACAAAGAAAGCAAAATCAAGTTGAAAAACTGTGGTACTCCAAAATAATCCAAACCTGTGTTATAGTAGGAGATTAGGTTAATGCAATTGGAAGCCTGGTAATAACACATACATGCATGACATGCTGATTATAGAAAGACAGGCATGGTACCCTTTTTGAATAAACAAAATTTTCTGATGTTATTTAACACTTATGCTATGACCAGAAAAGTTTGCAAGAATTAATGCTCCTGAATTCAGCACAAGTTACTTCTGAAAATTAACACTGAATCAAAGTGTGCCTGTGAGCCTAAAAGAAAACAAAGGGAGTGACAGGACATATGAGAAACAAGGTGATGCACAAACAAAGGAGTTGGTAAGCATTCTTTCAGAAAAAATTGACATAGCTTTAACTCATGCAACCGTGAAACGGCATCAGCCATATCATTCTGCTTCCCTGGCAGATGAATTGCAACAAGTTGAAAATTGTTAGTTGCAGACAGCCAAAACAATTCGCGCAAAAATGACATCAAAAGTTTGTTCTTAGAGGTACACTAATTAATACAACCAACAGTTGATGAATTATCACAATAAATATATACACGCTTATTTTGCCAACATTTAGCCCAACGCTTGGCCGCCAAAGCCACTGCAAATGCTTCTTGCTCATTAATATGCATAGCTTGCGCAAATGGGAAATCCTCTTTCCAATTTACATAAAACCAATCGGTACCAAAAACTCCACCTGCACCTGTTTTACAAGCATCAGTATAAACCGAGGTGACAGGATCAGTGTTAAGTAAGAAGGATTTCCCATTAAAAGTGGACATGAAATTGTACCATCAAAGAATATCATGCAAAATATCCCCGCATAAGCGCATTTTGTGCCAATCATGCTTAAGCTTCGTAATGCCATCAATGATTCTGCGAAGAAAAACTCTTCCGCCGCGAACCACTAAAGAAGACCAGTTTAGTTTTCCCGCCAGGGACTGCAGTTGTTTCTTAGAAACATGCTTGCGCTGCTGAAAATCTGCCAAATCTTGCCTTAACTGCTGTAGTTTAGTACTAGGTAATCTTAATTCAAATGTTGTGGAGTCTATCTCCACACCTAAAAATACTAATTTCTGGCATGGGTCCAAGACCTTGGACCAACTAATTGCAAAGCCTAACTTGCGCAGCAAGTAAATTAAAACCCTAAGGCCATGTGCGCAGCGCTGCTTAGTGCTTTCGCAAATGAAAAAATCATCTAAATATGCTGTAATGGTAAAGCCTCTGCGTGACATCATGCGGCGAATAGCCTGTGAAAGTCTATGGAAAATACCAGGTGCTAATTTAGAGCCAAAAGGTAATTTTTTATCTATAAAAATATGTGTTTGACCGTCAGGGAAAGTCCACTGTAAACCTGTTACCTGTTGACTACTGCGACTGATACCCACAGATCTGTAGGCCGATTTTAAATCAACTTTGGACATGAAACAATTTTTTTGTCACTAATTTTGCTGCATCATCAACAGATTGAAATTTTTGCTTATCCATATCCCCTGCAAAATCATTAACAGCTGACCCTATGGGTCTACTGCAATCATGAATTATCCTTACACCCCCATCTGGTTTTGAAATGACACCTAAAGGACTGATAATTTTTGGTGTGGACGTTGCCAACTCATAATTCCCATTTTCAATTTCAATTAAAATCTGTTGATGAGCTTTATCGTAAAAAGGACTTGAAATATGTGCCGAAGGATGATTTTTTGCTGAAATGTTAAGTGGAGCCAAATTGATATCTTGAACAATGTCAAACCCATTTTTTATGCCATGTAAAAGAAATTCTTTATCAGAATCATTTTTAAGTTCCTCTTGCCAAACAGTATAAACAAGGTCACGCACTGGCTTTATCATTACACCCAGTTTTTTGAATGAGCAAATGCTTGGTGTTCAGCACCACACCCCTGGATAGCACAAATGTGTGCATAGCGACAGTTTTGTAACTAGCAACCTTTCCTACTATTGAACTTTCTACAAATTTCAACACCTTCTGCAGAATGAGATGCATATTTGGAATTATCCTGTTGTTGCTTAGGTGCAAGTTTAAAAGATGGACCAGATGCCTGAGGTTTAGTGAATATGGCTTTTGGCCGAAGATAAACTGACTGTAAATGAGGGATGTTAGTGCCCCACCTAAAATTGTGCTGTTTTTGGAGTCTGCGGTATTCCCTATCAAAAAACAGCACTGACACAAATTCACATGATGAAACTAAATGATAAAATCTCCTGTGCTAAGTAACTTGTACATGATAGACAAATTTGCCCTCGACCACTGACACAGAGACAGGGACTCAAGTTTGGGTCTTACAGGACCAGATTTAAAAACCAGTTGCCCCCCTGAAGTATCTGAAATAAGGCGCTCCTCAGACATGCTGGTCCCCCCTATATCATAGGAAACAAAGTCTGAAATGTCATTGTACACTATTTTACAGTCTATGTTAGCAGATTTTGAATAAATTTGAGGGTCTTGCCAAGATAAATTAGAATTGACAGTGTTCATAGAAACTGCATTCGGGTTATAACTAACGCCAATGGGATCAGGTGAATGTTCATGTTGTTTCTGGCTTATTGCTAACTGCTGAAGCACCGCCTGGATATAGCCGTCTTCTTGTTGGTTGCCGCCATCTTGGATTAGGCTATGGGCGCCGCCATCTTGGATTAAGCTGTGGGCGCCGCCATCTTTATTTACACCGGAAGCATGTCCGTGTTCGCCCTCTTCCTGTGCACATGTCCTACGTTTCGACGCTGCCATGTTCACTTTATCGGCACTTATGTTCTTTCGGAAAGTCTTCTCAACCGCCCTTAACAACAGTTTTCTTTGTCCAATAGGCATGTTTGTATCCGCCAAATCGTCGGCCTCAATTAAAGACACAGCTTCCATGTTTTCAAATCCTAGCTCCAGGATTGTATTTGTGGTGTCTTCGCTAAGCTTCATTACGCCGGCCCATGTTCTTCCTTTGTCAGACTGTTTGTCGGACGAGTCCATAAATGTGATTTCTTCGTCGTTAGACATATTTATATTCCGCCGAGAATATTATGCATATATGAACGCTAATGTTAAGACAGTCACACGGCAATCATGAAAAGTTATAATTGTCAATCCCGTCTCACTGACGAGTTGGTAGCATCATAGATGTAAAAAAACGGACAGATTTGAAGGTATCAAAAGAATAAGCAGACATAACACGATGATGCAAAGTCCAGCTATATACAAATCATAGATTTTCGTCGGACTGTTTTTACTTGTGCCGCGCACATGTACGTATTCTCGTATTTCGTATGTTCTAAACGTTTGCAGAATTTTGTGTCCAGATCTAATACGAAATTGATTAATCCATTATATGATGTAAATTTACGATCATAATAAAGAAAATATTTTCCCAGAAAATAATAATGGCTGCTGCAAGCGAGCGTTGCTTTAGGAATAGTTGGGCTTGTGTGCATAAAACAAAAGCCCTACTAATTAAGCGCTGATTGGTTAATTCAAAGTTAGCTATGAATCTCATTGGTTAATTAGTATGATCTCGAAAAACAATTAGTAAACGAGAAGCACATGCGGCAGTGACTGGGAAACCCCATTGCTGATTGGTTAAAAACCTAGACATGCGAGTAACTACTGACCAGCATTCCAAAACGTATTATGTATTAATACTCTATTTAAATAAATTAGTTCCATTAAATACAATATTTTAATGAACTGAAATGTAATTTTATTATATATACTTGAGGTAAAATTTAAACATGGCCTTGTATCATAAAAGGAAGATTTGCCTTTAAATCAGTCAATTAAGGTATCATTAATATATTATCCAGGAATAGAAGTTTTCCAAACCTTCAATTTTTAACTAGCACATCATATATACTTGAAAATGCATAATATTGAACTTTTATGATTTTTTTAAAATATTTGATTATGAATAAAAGGAGATGTGTGGTAAATTTAAATGAGTCAGCAACCCAATAGCATAAACCCAAGACATCAGATGTAATTTTGTTTTACAAAACTCAACAATAGACAAGTGTATTCACTGGTATATAATATCAGAAGTCCATTACTAGGGGTACTTCTGATAATATGTATACCACTAATTGGCTGGGGTCTAAAAAAAGTTTAATATGATATAACTATTATAAATTTTCTATCTTTACACAATATTATTTCAATAATAATTTCAGTATAACCAAATTTGTGCGTTTATGATGTAATTCTTTGAATAACAGTTTAAAGAATTGCAAATGGATAAAGACATTAATGTGACACTTTTCATGTCTTTTTAAATCTTTGCCAGGTTTCCTTTCAATGTAACACTTGGACAAAGTATAAATTAACGATATGAAAAGTCCAAAAAGTATAATGGTGTAAACCAAATTTGAGGACATCATGTAAGAAAACAAACTACAGTTTTTCTGCAAGATTTCAGATAGATTTCAGAAATAATGGAGTCAAATATAGACCATAGCCAATAGACAAAATTTATTTGACTTCAGTAAACACAATTACAATAAATGTTTAGGGCTGAAAAAACATTAAAAATACACAAATTATATCACATACTATTTGACTACAGAAATTGAATAATCTAAGGCAATTAAAGACGGCTATTGAGGCGACAGGGATATTAAGATACATTTATTTACAATTTCATGGTAAAAAAGAAGCATGAACAGTGGTATGACAGCACAACAAAAGAACAAATCGTAAGCTCCAGTTGCAAATGGTTTAATTCAATAGATCAGTACGAAGCACACACAAAAACAAACTAACATAAAAACAAAATACACAAAGCAATGACATAAGAGTACTCGGCTAGTCCAAAGTCAATTACACCTAATAAATAAATTATGTTCAAGTATCAATCAGTACACCGCCAACAGATTAAGTGTATTGACCTCATAAAAGTCTGAGAAACGCTTGACCTTATGCAACGCCAAAATATAAGAAATCAGTATTGACAAGATGAAGGATTATGTGTAATCATAACTGTACATTTATAGCAATATATATCTAGT